CCATTTGTAGACGATCTGTGCCTGCGTTGTGCAATGCAGGACTTCCTGAGAAGAAAACCCTCCAGCAAGGCAAAATTAACAGGAAGACAAATCAAATCGTCTTAGTGTCAACGATGTCATAACTAGAGTGTCCTCTCCTGCTACTTATTGAAGGACTATCTATAACCAGCGAGGTTTTCACCTGAATGCCATTCAGGGGCACGCATATCAAGATATGGTGGCCTCCACATGAGTGTCCCCGAATTATTCGGCCTAATAGCATTCTTGTGAATACTTCGCAGGATAATATCTTGTTCTTGCTCCTCCAGCGGTGAAACTGCGTCGTAGATTGGTCTCGAAGACTTCCTGCGCTTACGATTTGTAAACGATCTAGCCTATGGTGTGTGGATTGTCCCATGTTGCCCTAGTAACCTGCGACAAGGTGTTGACTCTTCGCGGGAATAAACGCCTGGTCGCAGGTTACCTTTGTTGTACGACTAAACCTGTTAACTGATCGACCATCACAAATTGGAGGTCTGCAAATGCGCATTAAAGTACATGTTCCACTTCGCATTTGCACTGTTTAACATCAAAATCCAAATTTGTAGGAGCAGACCCGAATTTGCGAGACTGTACTATCTACCGGTAACCAGAGAGACCACTAAGCTTGTAAGCAGTGACCAAATCAGGTCCCCTCACTGTAGCTGAATGACCTGAAGTCTCTAGTTTACTACGTTATGTCTTATAATAATCACTGTCTGGTTGAACCTTGCCGATAAAAGCTTCACTTGACCAGCGCATAGACTATCAAGTGAAGTGTGATAGATCAATTCAAATTTGGCGCAACTAAGCGGGAGCCGGAAGTGAAGACGACGACGACGACAAAGGCGGCGGTGGCGAAGTCCATCTGATAAAGGTGTAAAAAGATACAGCCGAACCGTTTCCGAGAAGCCAAACCGAATCCAAAAAGCCGAACCTATCTCTAAAAGCCGAACTCTTATTGTTGACCGAACACCTGCAAAGGAACCCATCCTATGAAAAAAGGGAAGGGGAGGCCCTTACCAGACCAGGGAACCCACTAACTAATCTAACTACAATTAAGTTAAGCCGAAAAAATGTCCGGAATTTTCAGGCCGAACGTGTGTGGAAAGTATGCTTTGCAAGGTTCATCCAGAGCTCTATATACCCCCCTTGACCCAACCCATAATGAATGCACCTGACCTGTACCATTACAAGAAGTTGGGTATGCTGTGCTGATTGGAAGCTGGGCAGTCAAGGCTGGTTTACTGTGGTCTGGTGTTGTTAACTGAACTGGTGGTCTGGATTGGAGGTGGTGATCTGATAATCTGATGGTCTGATTTGGTGGTCGGGTTGGTGAAGATTGCCTTATATAGTAGTCTGATCTTGGTTCTGATCTGGTTGTCTGGTTTTGGTTGCTTTCATGGTCTAATCTGGAGCTGTGCCTGAGGAAGATGATCTAGTCTGACGGCTGAAAATTGAAAAGATAAGAAGCTGAGTTAATTGTAGTAAAACATGGCTGCCCAATAGGGACTTTCGGCAAACGACTAAGGAAGGGTCTAGTACCCTGACCAGAAGCAATTTTTTTCAAGGCACCATGACGCTGCTTTTTTATAAAAAAAAGACCCCAACCAAACATATACAGGGCTCTAGCGACGATCGCTGCGATTCTTTTTATTCCGATGTCAAACATCTTGGTAACAAGACACTCGGTTGCGAGAGATCACGCGAGAGGTCGTGCGTGATGCAGTTATGTCACACGGGGTGTGGCTCCGATCACGATCTTTGCCAATCTTTTCCATTCCTAATAAGTATCATAAATTTGCAATTAATGTTCAACATCACAGTAACTGTATAGGCTGTATAGCAAAGTATTCACTCGAGGATCTCTCGAGTGATGAGTTACATCAAATGAATGTGTCCCTGGTGACGATCTTCGCGAATTTTTCCCATTCATAATAAGCTATAATAAGATTCGAGAATTGCAATAATTGAGGTGTTCCAACCTGTTTAATTGAAGGAAGTAACGAGTAGCAGTTTACAAGAAATTATAAAAGTTGTTTGAAATTTCCTTAACACTTGACAAGCACGGCCTCTTACATCTCCATCTTCAGCACTTCATTTTAATAGGTATACGGTACTTTTTCTTTATTCTGTTAAATGTAAACTGCTTTTTAAATAAATAAAAATCGACGAAAACGTCTCTTACAATTTACTTCGACGCTTTTGGGGTTACGTCCATCTTCACTTAATGGCGCGGTGGCCTCATTTTGTGATACTACTCCTCCGTCAAAATCTCGCTGTTGTACTGCCAGAATTGAATCAAGTTTGTCGTTTCTTGAAATTCCTTCGCTTAGCAACCAACTATAATGGAAGAAAAGGAAGACGTAATTTGCACGGCCTCTTCATCTGGACGTTGAGGTCTCCACTGAGTTTTGCGTATTTTTTAGTAACAGCCACGTGCACGACCTCAGTTTTAAAACCATACGGAGGGCTTTCAAAATCATGGACTTCTAATTTTGCTTGAGCATTTGCTTCCATTTCTACTTGCTATTTCTCCTCTGAGAACAATAAATTATTTTCAAAGAAAGAACACTCGACAACGAAATAACTTAATCTGAAGTTGGACTCGACGGCAGTACAAATGTCCATCGAATTGACTATAATTTTAACAAGTAATTTACCTCAGGCGCTGGTTTTAACATCCCAGAATGTTTCCACAGTTAGCTTAATTTCTTGTAGTGATGCTGAGGAAGACGGATAGCCAGTTTATGTGGGTGCGTCTTGTTTCTCTTTCGTGAGCAACTTTCGTCACGTTTCTCAACCGAAGCGACCAATTTTTGAATGTGGCATGGAGCAACGTTCTGATTTGAATAATAATTTCTGATTGGATTTTCTTATTGCACGTGCCTATGTAGCAAGAACAAATTGCAAGAACAAAGGCGGTTGTTTACCCGCCGGTTTGTTTACCACGTACACCTCGCGGCATTTGGGACTTGTGTAAGGTTAATTAAGATTTCAAATAAATTCTTTGAAAAGATCTTGGGCGAGTGAACCATTTCTAAGGTGGAAAAATCGGTTATTAAATTTGGCGAGAAAGGGAAACGTCAAGGAAAACGAGCAAAGTCGTGAAATGTTGCTCCCGTAACAGACTCCCGCAAATAAAAAACTTTTGAAGTTAATTACACAAACAAAAAAAATTGCCAAACCTAATTTTTATTTTTCAGGCCGGGATTATGCCCTCCTATTAATATATGCAGTTCAACGATAAAACTGTACCCATGTTTTTTTTTGCTTTTTTTTTGTTTTTTTGTTTTTTAACTTTTATTATCAATGTGAAAAGTCTCATAAGTGAACGCATTGATTCAACAGAGACAACTATTAGCTAACCAGCCCATACAGTCTCTTTGAATTCGTTCCGTTCAAAACACGTATTTTTTTTAAACAGAGAAGGCCTTCCCCACCCTTTTTACTTTTGGACTAGTCTAGTTTTTTTGTTTTTGTTTTTTTTATAAATTCCACCTTTGATCTTGGCCCAGGTGTGATAGCCTGCATAACAGGCGTTAGTTTTTCGCTTTTTTCTAGACTGCAAAACAGTCTGTATTTTAGCGTAAATTCAAATACGCGCAGAAGTCAAACAAAAAGTCTGCAACGAGGCTGAAAACAGAGAGCGAGACTGGGGAGAGACGTTTTTTTTCTCTCGCCTCACACGGGCGTCTGAGGCTCGCGCTTAAGACTCTTACGCCGCGCTTTACCGATTTCTTTACTGATTTTGAGAAAAAGAAACGACTGTTTTGCAGTCTACTTTTTTCAGGCTAACGAAGGCATTCCAAACGGGAAGCGAGCCAGGAGCGCCTTCCTCTGACCCTTGTGTCCGGCTCTCGTCACTGGGAGCTTTAGCATCGACGACGGCGACAGCAGCGAAAACGCCACTTGAATTCATTTTCAAACTCTGTCGAGTTTACCGCAATAATTTGCTGAAAATGTCAAATGTAGGCGAAATTCCCTGGACTAAATTTCTTGGAGACGGCACTCATGTTTAGAAAGAGAAAGAAAAATTCGTCGTCGCTTGTTTACGTTCTCCATAGTGGTGCAATGACGGCCAAGAAATGTACAGCGGAAAAGCGTGATGCACGTGCAAAGTCGTTGTTTTGCTTACACAACGTAACGTTGTAACACAACGTTGTTTTGCTTACGTTGTTTTGCTTTTGCTTACACGAGGCGACTCGCAACGACGATTTTTTGCGTAACACAGTGTTACATTATTGTTGCGACATTGACTTCAAATGGTTGCAACATTATTCCAACATTGCAACGCTGTGTTGGGCAAAAACTCGTCGTTGCGAATCGTCCCGTGTAACATCACCTTTTGACGTTTTCTTTGCCGTCTCCGTCGTCGTTGCTAAAGGTCCCTATTGTCTATTTGGGAGGGGGTGGGTGGATCGTGAGTCGTGCCTCGTGGGGTGGGTAGAGGGTAGTGCGTCGTCAATGCCTAAATGTAGTTATGAATAACAAAACTGGACCATTGTTTGTGGAATTCAGTTGATTAGAAAAAATGTTTTAGCGTGACATAGCCCCAGGGTTCTATCTAGGATTTACCGTTTGGGGGAGAAGTCCCGAGTAGCCAAAGGCGAGGAGCTTCCTAGGGAGCTGGTATGCCTCCCCGGAAATTTTTTGAAGTGAACATGCGCTGAGATGCAATCTGGTGCATTTTAAGACACAATTTTGAGAAATGTTACCCTAGTGCCCTCCCTTGCCAGCGGGCGCTTTTTGCTGTGCGATACATGACATGTGTGTTCCTTCATCTAAAGATCGCTGAATAATTACAAGGTAGTGGGCTCAATTAGTTGTGTTATATTTTTAGCAGTCGTGTTAAGATTCACAGGTAGAGGAAAATGCCACATCTTTACAAGGAACTGACGTGAACTGAAACATACAGAGTTACTAAGGTCTTGCACAAGGTTAGCTGTGGAAATTTCGGTTACTTTTAGAAGGTGTTGTAATACATCAGGGCTCTGAAACGACAAAAATCTTTGCAAAGTTCAAGTGACCAGCGAATGGAGGTCTTTTTAATAAGCTAGTCCATTTTTTGGCTGCGAATATTTGCTTCGCAATACGTTAGTAGTACTTATTGAACGCTGTGGTGTGCAATTTTCCAGTAAATAGTGGAGATCAGGTATTTGAGGAATCGATCGTTCCATTCTCTTTGAAACAGATATGCAATGTCACTCCGCAATGTCAAATCCGGCCTGTATTGTCATTTACCAATCATCTGACACAATAGCTTGTGTTGACCGTTGATCGCTGGTAATGTTTACATCTTACGAAGGATAAACGTTTCTTTGTGTTTTATTGCTTAAGACACTACTTAATACTTTTGTATTGAACGAGAGCTGGCCGGTCTGCAAATTATATTTTTCAGGTTCACCATGGGCTGTGGAAATATAAGCTGTGGGGTAAGAGGTAAGCCTATTATTTAAATGAACATCAGTCACTTTTGTGCCATGTTATTGCTGTGTTAGAGCCATTGCATGTTTAGTTATGTTATAATCTGCAAGATCTCTTCAAAAGCTACAGTATTATATGTGTTACGGTTGTTGTTGTGGTGCATGTACCTTTAAACAATTCAGTTATACAACTGTAGCTCATCCGCATAGCTTACAGCCTGTCCTGGCCTTCAATTAATGTGAAGTGCACTTTTTCGTCATGAAGTAAGTTATATTTTTGTACAGTTTAAGCTGCATTGCTCCTTATAGGTACATTATATATGTTGTAGTTAATTTTTTATCTCAGGTAATTTTTATTTTTCTTTTGTTTCAACTTCATTGGCAGCATTACCATACCCAAAAACAAATCAGCAATTAACATATACAACAATTAACAATTAAAATATACATCAAGTTACAACTTTGTGGTATTAACTCCATGTCTTTCTGCAAGTACCGTCATCAAAAGAGAATCAAAGCAACCAAACAATAGAGTTTTCCTGGGGGCTTTATTGTTTGGTCATTTGATATCTTTTGTTTTACATAATCTGTGCCTCGGCTCCTCAGAGGGAACCTAAAGTAACTTCAGAATCCCCTACCTCTTATGTGCATCTCACTGAATATAAATTATACTTTCTCTGAGTCAAACACGTGAGATTTTTGTCTTGTCAAGACTGGGATTTCCGAAAATGTCCCAGCGACATTTGAAGATTTCTGACAATTTTCTGAAGAGGTCCAATCTTTGCAGAAAATATACAAAGACATTCTGATGACCTTTGAGCATCCCCAAAGCTATTGAACCCTTTAAGCCCCAATATCCACATACAAATTCCCCAAACTGATCTCTATATATTTCCTTAAAGAATGAGTTGAGAGAATTTGATAAAAGATCAAAGTATTTGCCCTTAGGTGATCATTTAATTAATTCTCATAACCTCATCTCATGATAACGTATGGATGTTGTTAGGAGAAAATTGCTGTTGGTCACTCTTAGGACTTACAGCCTGTAAAGGGTTAAAAGGCAACAATTTTAGCATATTTTGAAACAGTTAGGATACAACTTAGTCAACCTGTATACATGTATATAAGGCTCCTTTTGGAATATTTTTGTGGAAATTCAATTGAATTTTTGTCATTAATCATGTATTAAAGAACAATTTGTCTGGATTTGTGAGTCAGGCATGAGAAATAGTTCCTGATGCATGAGATCAATCCCTTTAGTCAGCGGGCATGAGATTCGCGCATAATGCATGATAGTTGGCAGGTATGTGAATAACAAAGGTCCCTAAATTGTGTTATGCTTGTTCTTTGAAGTGTTCTGACAAGTAGTGGGGTATTTTGAAGTTACTCCAAACTTTGATGTTATAGGTATGACTGATCAACTATCGCTACCCTTCAGTAATCCCTTCAGTAGCTGTTGACAAGTGGGAGGTAGCATGGCTAGTCCCTTTGTTCCAGTAGACCTTGACAAGCTATTAGATGAGTTTGAGGAGAAGGAAGAAGGTGGGTGTTAATAATTCAGGACGATAATGTTGTCCAGAGCAGAAATCAATATCAACAACTTCTTACCAACAATCCCTTCATTTTTATTTTATTAAAGAGTTTAAAGAAAAACACTTGTACACTTTTCTGTGTAATTCAATAATAAGTGAAAGAATATGTTATTAGACAAAATCTTGATTTGCACTGGCTTTCACCTTTTTTAAAGAAGAATTGTTTTGCCCTACATGTAAGTCTGAAACAAAAACTATTAACCAATGTAACTTTTCCCATTGTAGAAACAAAACCTGAGCAATTGGCATCATTTGGTGCAACTGACCCTAACAGTAACCTGACAACAAGACAGAGGTTTCAAGCACCATTTCCTAGTATCAAGGAAGAGGCACTGTCTGACCAAGGATCTGAACAATGCATCTCAGATGAAAAGAACAGCAGTACTAGTAGCGGCGATGATAGCAGCGATGGTGATAGTGTCAGTGGTGTAATAGAAGCTGCGGAAGCAATTACAAACCAGGGGCCGAATCTTAATCAGCCTCAGACAATTTTACAAGGTGTTAAAAATGACAGTGTTAGTGATGAACATAAAGAAAAAGTAATTGTTTGGGATTGTGCTTCTAGTGAGAGTTCAGCCTGTGGCAACAATGCCTCAAGTTCTATTGAGAAAAGTAATTCTGGAAGCTATAAATCGAATGACGCGAAGTTCTCAAACCAGTATGGATATGTCCAATTGGTAAACGAAGATACAGAAACGGCATCTGAGCAAAGTGAAACTGTTTTACATGACGATAATTGCCATGTAGGGGAGCAAGCTAGAAATGCAACTGAAATGTTAGCATCTGGTGTATTATATTCAGAAACAAGTGATGAATTATTATACCAAGAACAGACATTGGCTGGCATTGGTGGTGAAGAGAGGCTTTCTATTGATGAGAACAAACAAAACACAAAACTTTCTATCGTTGGTAGTATTAACGATAGCAGTTTTGGATTAAGTGATCCAAAAAGTGATGTTGTTGCACCTGAAATGTCAAACATTCCTCTGTCTACCAGTGTGGAGATGCAGTTTGCTGACAAGTGTAATGAAGACTCAGATTTATTGGAAACAATTGAAGAACATGTGTCAAACATGCCTGTATTAGATAATCAACATATGACACATGGACAAGAAATACGAGAAGAACAGATAAGTGAAAATGGCAATGATTATGATAGGTACAGCACGGAACTTGGAGCTGTTGGTGGAATTAACCATAATGATACTCCTAGTTTAGTTGATTCAAGTTGTGAAGCTGATGCGCATTTTGCACAAGACACAGTGAGTGGTATCCCTGTGTCTCAGAATGATGAACATACTTATGTCAAAAGTGATTGTGGACCTACTGTATCAGCCCATGAACAGTCACAGTCTGAGCAGGTTGGTGACCCTGTGATAACTGCTGTTCTGGTTGCTATTGACCCAGAAGTGACTAATACTTCAACTACTGAAGCACAAGCCATTCTTGATGACCAAGAAGTTGCTTCCTACTCAACTGTCCATGTCCCTGGTGAAAGTCATCCTGCAAGCTCATATGATGAAAATCAAGTCGAAAGGGATGAGCATTTTGTTGGTTTAGATGAACATCATGATCACACAATTTCCCCCGACTTAACCATAACAGTGCATTCTCAAGACTCACCGGAGGCGCAACGTATCACCTCAGGAGAAGCAAACCTTGGTAAAGTGCCACCAATTTGGGTCCCTGACTCTGTAGCTACTCATTGTATGAATTGTGGGCTGAAGTTTAGTGTAATAAGGAGGAGACATCATTGCAGAGCCTGTGGAAAGGTATGTTGCATGCTACACGTATGGAGTGTGCAAAAAGTGCTATTCATAATACACACTTGAATATACTTTATTATGCATGCGAGTCATAAAAGTAGCATGTATTTTGAGGTGGCCTGTGTTGCAGACATTTTTTAACCCTGGTTTGTAACATCTGCGAAGCAGCACCAAGATCCTTGTTTTGGGTCCTCAGTGGATTTAATGAAACACTGGAAGTGAGTTTCAAATTTCCTTACAACCTAATTGGTGAATTGACAATGAATTTTTTAACAGGCAAATCACGGCATGTACTCAAATCCTGTTACACAGGTGGGGACTGGCAGAACAAGGATTAAAATAGGCACTGTGTCACAGACGGCCTTAACCAGAGTTTATAGTTTTGTCTGTGGTGCAGGCTAATTTAAAGGTAAATGGGAATAGATTCCCCAAGCTACCCTTTGCCTGGTTTAGTGCTGATATTTAAACCATTCACAGCACAGTAAAAAGTTCTGAGTGATTCTGCCAGATTTCATGACCCAACCTGCCAAGAGAAATCTGTGTTTGGTCTCCTTTAATAGACACTCTGCGTTGTTCCTTGTCTATACTGGGGTGTCACGCTCCATTCCTTAATCCACAACAATGACTGCAGGAATAACAATAGTACTGTCTGATAGTCTAGGGCCAGTGGAGTGACCCATTGTGCTAGCATACAAGTTGCAAGTTGCCCACCAGGCAAGCAAAATTTCTTGAGCACATTAATGTAAATATTGCCAAATACGGGGCTTTGGTAGGCCAAGAAAATTTTATCTAACACTGCACTTGCAAAGCTATCACTTGGCTATCACATCAGGAACAATAACCAATGTGGTGGTTAGTACTGTTTTGCTTCTTTTTGGCCTAATAGCGACCAGAAAATGTCTCTGTCAATTATTGTTAACTGGCATTTTTTGGGACAATTCTCAGTGGCGAATGGTTTGACAGTTCATACAGACACAGTGTTCGGCATAAAGTCTTGTGCCATTTTATACCACACATGATTAACCATGGCCATATCAAATCATAATAGTTTAGGCTCTGACATGAATAATCATTGTTTTCTAGGCTTTGTGCTCTTCATGTTGCAACATGAAGTTCCTGTTACCATATATGAACAACAAGGAAGGGCGTGTTTGTCAAATATGCTGTAATGCTTTGTTGAGAGGTAAACTATTTCGCATGTGAATAGTGATATGTTGTAGATAGGTGCATCATTAATTATCTCTTATCATCTCTTATTGGACACCTCTATAACACAGAAACCTTGCTAAAACAGACACCTACACTGTAGGTTTGGTTCCAACCTCGTTCCTAGGGTTCTCTAGCTACTACCCATCCCTATGGAGCGAGAGAGAGAGAGAGACGAATAGGAGAGAGAACCTGGGAAAGAGGTTGGGTTTGGTTCCTTCTTTTCTTTGCCACTTTTTGTTGACTCTCAATAAGACAGACATCTCTCAAAGGTGGACACTTAGTGCCAATCCCACAGTGTCTGTCTTGGAGAGAGTTGACTTTGAGCATTTCAAGTTATGTTCCTGCACTCCCATCTTTATACTGGGACTGAAAAAAATTCTTGGAATCTGAATTTGAATTCTTTCACAAAAACGTAAACGATCAATTCAAGTGCATACACTGCACCTGGCACATGGGCCTAGTCCAGAGGGGGGTCCTCTAAAGTGATTAGGATGATAAACAATGGGGGATCAGCCACCCCCCCCCAAGAAAAAAAAAATCCCTGGAGATGTTTCTGTCGGTTTAACAAACAACCTTCCCATTGCAGCCCAGGCCTTGATGCAGGTTGTAGACAATCTAGCCAATGAGAATATCAGCGGAAATGATGGCAGTTCAACAGATGAGTTACTCCTGGATAATGGCTTAGAGGAAGAAGAGGAAGAGGAGGAGGAAGGAGAGCAACTACCTGTACATCACCATGAAGATGCAGTGGAGCAGGAATTAACAGAAGGCCCTGAACCTGTTGGAGATGTTGGTGAGGATACAACAGATTTTCCTGGGGCAACAGGTATGATTCGGGAGTGAAGTTTTAAAGTTTGTTTTTTGTTGACAGTGCACTTACCTTATCCAGCTAAGCTCTTTACTCAAATAGTGATAAACAACTAATTTAAATAGAACATAAGCTGATTAAAAACCCAAACTGGCAGGAGATGACCAGTTGGCTATTTACAAGCGCAGCCACGGATTTGAGCTCGGAACAACCAAAAACAAATCCAGCAAGCGGCCAGAGCACCTCGTGGCCACACTGCCCCCTAAAAATTATAATACTCATGCTCTTGACTCGTACAATGTTAAATTAATGATGATGTGAACCTTTGTGTGTAAAAGTAACTATTATACTTCTTTTTAGGTGGTTTCAATGTAGTGTTTACAGTGCTGCCAGTTTTAGTTACCGGAGAAAAGATGTCTTATTTCATTAATCTGTGACATAATTATTATGGTGTACATTCTGAAACAACGGTTAAGCTTTGATGATCTCTTCTTAACTAGCTTAGCAACCCACATAAAGGACTACTTCTCTAAAGAAATTTGAAGGTTATTTTACGCTTCCTAGGGCAGGATTTTGCACGAGAACGCACTGCCCCAGTTTTGCCACCTCTGCAGATTCCAATAACTTTGCCCCAAGACTTGGGTGACACCCCTTTGGCCACGCCCACTTCCCCTGCTCTTTCAGATGACAGCGACTGTCTGTTTAGATTGGATGTCGACAATGTACGCTCTCTGTTGCCACAAGATATAACCGCCTTGCCGCCTGTCCTTAAAGTTATAAATGGAGGTATGGTGTGTGTATTTGACTGTAATGACAGCCTGCATAGCAGGCATCAGTTTTATTGCGGGGTGAAGGGAGATAACTCTAATACGCGTGTATACGTGAGGGCAGAAAATGAGAGGAGCTTTCCCCCCTCTTCGAGTTTTCCTTTAGTGAGCTGTATAAAAGCTAATCACGTAAACTAACCGGCGCCTGCACTAATAACAACGTACTAATAACAACGTTTTTTTGACTTTCCTGATACTGCAGAGAACATTAATATGTTGCCTATTCAGTTAAAACTATAACAACATATTCTGATCTGACTGGCTATTGGTAGCCCCGATTTCAGCATAAATAGGGCTAGAACAGTTTTATAGGACAGTTTTGGTAGCATGGGTACCAGAGGTCTTTTTGGCTAAAGTCACCAGCGGCAGTTTTTGCGCTGGTCACCATAAAGACTTGACCGCAGCCGGAAACCGCGCAAGTCCCTGGCATCTAGTGTACTTAAATGGTTTTGTTACTGAACAATTTTGTTCTTTTTTTCCCCGGTCTCTTTTTCGCGCGCGCTCCATTGTTGCTCTCCCTAGTCCCCTAAATGTTTTTGCTCTTTTGTTTTGTTTGTTTGTTGTTGTTTTTTTCGCGCGGTTTTGGTCTGTTTTTGTTTTCGATGCGCCCGTTGCCGTCGCCGAAGGCTTTGCTTTAGGCTCTCTATTTACTATAATATAATGTCTGCACATAATTGCTTTATTGCAGAAATATCAATACAAGAAAGACCTGACCCAGCAGAAGTAATGTACCAGATAAAAGGTGTGAAGCTTCCGTGTTTATGCAAATCTGAATGAAAATCTAGCAGTTATTTACAAATAAATTCGAAACTTAACAACCAGTTGCGTTTGAGAAATTAACATTTGAAGTTCTGTGGGTACTTTCACGAGAGTTACAGTAATTTGACTCCATTTCTCGTACAACTATTATGATGGTATATAAAGTCACATGTCACAGTACTTGCCGGTATTGCAAAGCTTTACAACTTAAATCGTCAATCAACGCACTAGATTTAATTATTTTCTGCCAAAAAAGTAGCATTGATTTGTGAAAGTTTTTTTTATTTTTTGTGTTTTAAAAAACACTAACATTTATGCAACAATCAAAAGAAAGGGAAACAAGAGAAAACGAAGAAAACAAGAAAAGAAACCAAAAAATTACATAAGTCCCTGGAATAAAATAAAGCAATTGATTGGAATTAAGTGCAATTTAAACTGCAATTATAGCATCATCCAATTACGAAGACTTACAATCTACACATTTATCTGTGCAGGGCTTCATGAAACAGTTGCTTTCCTACTGAATAAAAACCTGGTGGTCAAAGTCAGCATAGTGAAATGTAAGTTTGCCAGTTGACGTGTATCGTGATATCCGTCAGTAAACACTCAATGACTGTTTCCGAAGGAGACATTGAGATTTGAGAGAAATAAAGTTAACTGTCTTCCCCAGAGACCATTTTATTATAGCCCTTAATGAAATTTTCTACGCCTCAGGGAGTGCTCAACGTTCGCGGGTAACATTGGACAGTTACTCTCTGACGTCATAGATTTCGCAATGTGATGGCTCCGAGAATTTCGGTGGGAGACTGCCGGGAAACAGTTTTATTGTTGTATGTCATGTGACCTCAAAGAAACCAATGAGAGCGCGACCTGTTGGGGAAAAATTTTCCTGTTATATGACAACGTTTTTTAATTAAACTTGGTTTTTATTTTATTATATGTAATTGTGCATTCAAGTAACATGCTTGATATCCGGCTCATCTATACAGTGTTTTTATTGTTATTCTCTTTTTAGTGAGCTGTTGTGTGAAGCATAAATGTTGGTGTTTTGTGACAGACGGAATGGGAGCTGCCAATCAAGAAGAAATGGTAAAATATGCAAACTAGCTTTACATCGAAAAAGTGTGATTCGTGAAAGACAAACGTGATTTGGTTACATACAGCAGTGAACCGTGAATCGATTGCTTTCGTGATAACTGCATGGGTTTGACTTGTTTTCTTTTCGTGAAATGTGAACCGTAACTCTTTTTTCGTACCAAAAAATTACTTAGATAGTGCTGGAAAAAAGACAACGTGTACACAAATTTGTATGGTAGAACTTGAAAAACAGCATGTCTTCCGACAGGTGCCCTTAGACGCTTACGGGCAATGTTTAATTCGATCAAGAACTCACGGTCACGTTTAAACGGGTTCCTAAGAAATGCAAAGTGTTTCGTGGGTGAACAGATCACAATTACAGTCACAAGATAAGATTCAGTGATTTTGTTTTGTTACCTCTGCGTCCTGTGTTCGTGACGCATAAAAATCCCCAACGACGTAAAATAATTCATGGCATGCGTCCCGTAGGACGCAAAAATCAATCGATCGATCTGAACATGTGAATTTGTAGAAATATCCCGTTCGTGTAATTTCTGTGGCCGTTATGATTTCTGTTGTTTAACGATGCGTATTTCTTTTAGCCTTTGTTGTGCTTTAAAATAGAAGGGCTATATTTTATGTCAGTACTGCAATACAGAGTTTTGGAGTCTCTCTTCAGACTAACTTTCTGGTTACATAAAGTCCCAAGCATTTTCAATTTCTAACTCGTTTTTTTTAACTGGGACTCATTGGTTCTAGTCTAGGACTCATGATTTTTCACAAGATGAGTCCCAACACACACTATAACTGTTTGTAACAAAATCACTGTAGAGTACGAAACAGAGTAATTATTATTTTTTTGGCAGGTCGTTTTGCTGGAGTGTCTTCGTAAAGAGACAATGCTGCCCAAGGATGTCCTCTCGCACTTTAACACAGCATTTGCTTATGCCAAACAAGGTAGATGCTGGTTTCCAAAGTGATAAACCCTTAGTTGTATTACAACCTGCTTATTATAATAACATCTTTATTCAGCACCTTTTAACATCAACGCTTGTGGTCTGTGATCAATGCAATGTAGAGTAGGAACTAGTTGAGGTGGACACAGGTTAAGGAAGTAGATAAATAAACGTAAACAGCAGTAAAACGCACTCTTAGAAGCATCGTATCGTATTAGACTCTATTTTGAGGTACTTTTATTTCATAGATACGGGAGGGGGGTAATTAGAAGCTGAGTGCCAAGCCAATTCGAGCATTTACGGTATGCGCATAGCCATATTTTTACAGAAACGTATCAGACTGAATGACTTCAGTTCTTCCAAATGGATACTCGAGAGGAAGAGTAATTATAATATTCTCGCGACAACTAAGCCCTTTAAAGAAAGTAACATTGAGGACTGAGGTAATGTTATCAAATTTGTATCTTTAAATTTAGGTCACACGGTGTCAGAACTTGGCTACACTATTTTTGGTCAGCCATTTCTGGGCAGTAGTGACAATGCAGGCTTCCTTTATGTCAAGCCAACATATCAGGTACTGGCAACTTCCCAACAATATCAATACATAATCAAGAGCAAAAAGGTTAGACTATGTTAAAGGAGTTCCCTCTACCAGCTAATGCTTTGAAGAGATGTGTGGAGGTCAGCTTGGAGGATTCACGAAATTTGTCAAAATTAAAACAGAGGAAACTGCCACCAATTTAGTGGGACATAAAAATAACTGCTCAAAACATTAAAAGAAGGTATAAATAACGCAGCAATTGTAACAGGAAGCACGGATGGACAAACTTGAAGATGATTGAAACAGATTGCTAATGTGGTTTTTGTAAACTTGTTAGCCGAAAAGTTTTTTTTTGAAGTTAATTTTTGTTGTTTGAATCGTTTGAAATAATGCGTGGAAGACTTATTTGTTGGACGTGAAGCTGTATTTTTATCATTCGCGAGTAATATCATAAGTTCCAAAGCGAATAAGAACGCTTAAAACTCGGTAACCTCATGATAAGACAATTATTGAACTCGGTTATCGCAAAATATCGTGATTTATCAGTGTCTCGCAGATCATTTATTTGCCTATTCAGCTTCGGCAAATAATTGATCTGCTCGCCACTGACAAATCATGATATATTGCTCAACCTCGTCCAATAATTATTAATCATTAACAAAATAAACTAACTAGCTAGCCATGGCACAGCCCGTTTAGAGAATTAAAGTATATTGTGGCTAACATAAAATTCCTTTCGTCATTTCCCTAGTGTCTTAAAAAGCTTCCATTACCGTCTACACCTTATGTGGTAGGGATCTTGATTAAACGTCAGGAGACACCGTGGGCCCAACTCTTTCCTCTGAGGCTTCAACTTCGACTTGGAGCTGAGTACAGATGTATGTACCATTCTGTTTAGTTATGATCATTTCATTTTGTTGCCAATCCAAATTATAGCCCGTGTAGTAGCCTGCGTGATAGTCCACATGATCGCCTTCGTGATAGTCTTCGTGATAGCCTGTGGTAGTATGCGTGATGGCCTTCGTGATAGCCTGCGTAAAAGTCTGCGTAATAGTCTGCGTGATTGTCCGCGTGATAGCCTGCATAGTAATCTGCGTGATAGCCCGTGTGACAGCCTGCGTAATGCTGAGTCTGCGAGATAGTCTTCGTGATAGGTTTCGTTTCCTGACTTGTCCATCTTGTTACGATGTCCCTACTAACAGCATTGTTACGCCATTCGATATACATATCTAAACCGCACACAACCCACTATCATGCCTTGAACGGCATTAGCTCGTCTTTGGAGAGTACAAGACTGGTTACATAATACAGGGTGAACGTTTAGTTATCATTTTGTTTGCAGATTACCCGTGTCCACTCTTCAGCTCGCGAACCAGACCATCTGTCTATGGTGAAGTGGGCCACACAATCATGAATCTGTTAGCAGTATGTATATATCCAACATCTTGAGTCAAAATAAACGCTGTCACGGAACCCAGCTTTCTACTATTTTATTCCCAAGCTAAATGAAGATCACCCCCCCTCCCACCCCAGTTCTCCCCTCCCCTACTTCCTTAGGAAGGCCTAATACTCTTATCAGTCAGGAAGGTAATGAGGAAACAAGGGCTTAATTTCACAAGATCAGATGCCTTGGTCAGTTTCTTATGCCTGCCTGCTTCTTTTTCATTTTCCAACTCTGTTGGAGGTATAAGATAGATGTTGAATACATGTACAACACCTGATCCTGTTACTCTCATTGTATCAATGGGACACCTATTAGGCCTGCTTGTTCGTATTTGCCTGCTTCATATGACAGAAAACCCTGCTTTCTACACAAGCCTGTTGAGTTTCAACGTCTCAACAAGAACCACTATGGCTTTTTGTCTCACCTGTCACCACCAAACTAATTGTTATTCATAGAATAGAGTAGTACCACTGTGCAAACAGTTATAAGAACTACAAGTTATGAACACTGCTAATAACAACTCTTGAATTAAGAATACACCTATTTAGCACAGGTGTAGCCGCACCCTCCCCCCGACAAAGGAAAAACGGAGAGAGAAAGCTCTCTTTCTCCGTTCCTCTTTTTCCTTTGTCGGGGAGGGTGTGACTACACTTAGGCTAACACCTTTTCTTCAGTAGGTTAGCTTAAGAGTTATACGTTTGCACTATTATATGTCCACAGGATTTCAAAAATTTCCAGTATACTTTAGCCAGAGTGACAGGCCTTGTGATTCACATGGAGGAGAAAAGGACCCTAGTTAGACTACCTCAAGACAGATACGATGAGGTACAGAGTATCATTAATTTAATGTTGGGAAGTGAATGAATTGCCTCTAAGAAGCAGTTGCAAATCAGTGATTGTAAACGAATTGCTGCATGGGCTTATAGTTTTGTAACACTTGCGTGAGTCTATCCCATTCTATCGTAACTTATCTTGAGTTCTCGAACCCATCTTATTTTCGACACAATTAACTGGTAAATTTACTGGTCTTTGAGTTGCCGAACTTGAAAGGCCATTTCGCAACTTGAAAAACGCGATCACTCTTCATTTCTGGTTTCTCACTAACGTTATTTACTGTGACTTTTAATCGAGTACTTTATTTCAGATTGTTTCCGCACTCCCCTTTGCCTCTAATAATATTTCAAATCGCGCCAGTTATCCCGCAATACTGCAGTCTAGAATAAACCCTGAGTTCTATTTAAAGAACGCTCTCACCGCACTGTAAATTTATGTTTATATCAGGTTGTAAAGATTCTGAATGCTTCGGATGAACACGTTATGGCTTTGGGTGCTAACTTCAGCCTACAGGCGGACTCACACCTGGTGTGTATACAGAGCGAACAAGGCTACAAAACTCAAGCCATAAACATACAGAATCAACCCAGGAAAGGTGCAGTATTTTTACCTTGTACCTTACAGGTGGACTAGCTTCTACATTAAGTAACGCTCAAAACTAAATACATGTGGAGTCTGGTCGTCTCTCGCGCCACTTACCTTGCCTCTTCGGGCTCCGTTACGCATAAGGCCGCCACAGCTTGCCTGCTATCTTGAACAGTGTGTCTGGTTTCAGTAACGATATATTTTTTTACGGGAATGGGAGATTAGCCCATCACCCAACCCCCAACCTGGTGGACCAAGCGTTGCAATACGTCTAGGTCCCAACTGGTATAGCTTCCAGGATCATTAAGGCACACAAATCTTCGCCTGCCGTCTGTACCCTTCCCATGGTCCCTTGCAGTTCATCACCAGTCGCTCACCTCTACCTTGCGAAAACCGAAGCGCCTGAGGAGGAGGCTGTCCCTACCACGTTATTAAAAGGTACAACAATGACACTTATGGAGGTTCCAGCGCCACTCGAATTATTTTTTTTTTCTGCGATGTTAACATGTTTTGTGTCTTAATTTAGTGACTGGAGCAAGCTTTATTGTCTTTAGTGGTGCTGTGAAGTCAAGTAGTCCATTTATGGCCAAAGTTAGCATTGTCGAAGGTTTGTCACTTGTTGTTTGTCAGTCTATAATGATTTTCTTGTCGGTCCAAGTTGGACGTGGTTGTTTTGCGAAGTTGTTTTAGGAGCCAAATTGTCGTCTCCAACGCCCAAGCCCTCCGTCGGTGGAACACCGTTGAACACTGTTGTTGCAGACTCGGTACTCACCTAGTCTAGCCCTTCTCAGATGTTAAGAACTCTCTCCTCTGGCGTTGCGTGACAGAAAGAAGGTGGCCGTGAGGCGAGGTTCCATTGTATCAATTTGACTGTTTATTATGCGGGTGCGTTATGCAGGGTTTCACTGCATCGGGTGTTAGAGTACTGCAAGTGAAATAAAACGTCTCAGGTTGAGTGTCCTTTTCTTGTAGATGGAATTATGGTGCAAATGATGCCTGACGCGATCACCAAGTTAAGGAGTTCCCTTAAGGAGATGAAGGACTATACCATCACCACAGGAATTCCCGGTGGGGGAGGGGAGGAGGAAGTTATTGTAGAGTGGGTCAGTCGAAAGGATGCCCCGCGCCAATCCAGGTATAAAACTCGTGTTTACAGTGAACTCTACCTGTGATGGGGACCCTGTGGCCATTAGCACTTGGGCCTTTGGCGTCCAATACTGCACGGACAATCTAACGTACGGACAATCGTCAATCAGACAAGACTAATTTTGTACGAATGGGCTTTCATACAGAAAAATATTGTGCGAACTAAGTGATTTGCACAGAAACGAATAAATCTTTTTTTACTTAAGATTAATGCCGTACTTAGTCGTCTCGAATTGGTGTAAAAAATATGTACAAGGCAAGACTACCACTTCAAATATTCGGCGACAAAGGCGAAGTGTGTTAACAGTGAGAACTAATTTACTGAGCCGAACAAGCTAACGTACGTAGTATAAAATGTAAGTAAGACTAAAACTAATAGCGTACGAACTGAACAACAGAGAAACGTTATTAATAAAGACTTACACGTACGAACTTTCGTATTGAAGAGAGTGAATAAGACAAGAAGAATGTATGTAGACAAGACAAGACAAGACTAGCTTAAGTCCATGCATGAAGAAACGTCAAGATGACAAGGCTAATACCGTACTAACGAAATCCATATGGAGAGACGCAAAGGCGACACAGCTGATTCAGTGCCGGAACGAACTAACGCTCGAAACGGGTTTTCGAACGAACTGATGTACGGACAAAATACAGAAAAAAAAAGACTAGTTCTGTACGGACGACTGAACGACGTACAAAGAAAATATGGGGGGGACAAACGGGTGGGAACTCGGGAGAATAAAGAGCCAAAAGCTTACGGAAGGCGGACGAGGAAAAGAGCGGGATTTACACAACAATTCTTAAATAAATATTTCAGTATCAATCGAGAAAGAAATAAAGAGAAAAAGCGAAGAAAAGAAGGGGCAGAAGACAGAAACGCAAGGTACGGGAGGCGGAGAGGTTTGGATCCTCTGTCCCTCTCCACAAGAAACGGTGAAAACTAAAAAGAGTCTCCTAAAGAGCGTTTTGACTTACTGAGAAGCTTTTTAAGAAGGGAAGGGCGAGTGCCTTGCCAACCAACCAAATTACAGAGCCAAAATACTGACACGACAAGACTAATAGTTATACCACGCGAACAAGCAATCGTGCGAAGTATAGCACGTAAGCAAGACTTAAACTAATACCTTACGAACTGGAGAAAAGACAAAACTTTCTTCAGAAGAGACTTGCATCCTGCGAACAAACTGGCATACTGAGGAGCGAATAAGGCAAGACGAATACCGTTCAAACAAACGTTGATATGTCGAGACGAAGAAAACGAGACACGTAGAGTCATAACGCAGTAGATTACTTTCTTCGCTTTTTAGTCAAGTTGCTTTCCAACACTGCGAGGGAACAGTTCGTGGTTTGCTTGCCGTCTGGTACAACGTAAACCAAAATGATGAGTACCAGGTTCTGATCCACTAGCCAGAGAGGTGTTCGGCTAAAAGAGGATCGAAGGAGAGCACTGAAATCGGCAGGGTCCAAGTCTAGGAGTCCGTTTCAGGGCGGCCCCTTTCTTGTTGAAGTTCGTTCTTAACTCATAGCCCTAATATCAAAATTCAAATTCACATGTGTTGTTCCTTTACGTTTCCTAAAGCGGTAGTGGGGAGAAGTTGTTGAAGTATCATTTAGATTCATCGTCTGTGATCATGCACTCAATTCTCATGACCACTCTGTTTAGTAAAGCATCGATATTACAGGGGGAAATTTCATGCTGATCACTGCCAGGGCCGGGTTAAAGGCGAGTTGACTGTATATCTTTTTTTGGAAATTTTATTCAGCTTATGCAGCCCGGTAGATGGTCTTCAACTGGACGGTTTCCCAAGTGTGAAAGTTCATAGTGGCTATGATTTCACGCGCAAGAATGCCTTCAGGATTCAGTGGATGGAGATGTATTTCTTAGGTGAAGGTCATCAAAGTGCTTCCCGGGATTTGAATAAATTGACTGCAGAGGTAGCAAAGGCTTTTGCACGAACACTCATGCCACACCTACAAAAGCTGAGTTCTGACAACTGCACATTTCTTGGCTTGCGAGTCAGTTTGGATAGTGAAAATGTAAGTTCTTATCAAAGTGTTACTAAAAAAAAAAGGTTAGTTGTACTTCCCTTCAGTTTATGGTAAACTCTTTTTGGACAAGACCGTACCATATTTTTCTAGAGAAGAGTTTTACTCCGTTGACCCCGTATGATAAACTACATGAGTGCAAGAACAAAAGCGTTCGTTTATAAATTCAAATTCAAATTCCAACAGAAATTGTAGACGAATAACCCCCGTGTACATTTGCTACCTTTAAACCATTGTTTATTGCGGGCGACCAGAGCAGCCCGCAATCCTACAGGTAGCTATGGCGCGTGGGGGGCACGTAAGTAGCCAGCATTCGTTTGGACGTCCACTAAGAATGACTGGAATTTATAGAACGCAATCTATCACTCGCCTTTGGACCTTTTATAACACGCACAGCTGTTCTCTATCAGAGCCTGGTGGCCCTGGCGTCCAACTTTTGCTCACAGGCGACTAGAAACGAAAACTCGGAATAGCGAACAAATTTTGCCAGTCCCTTGGCCCTTCGTTATATCGAGGTTCCAGTGTATTTTCCTCAGGACACAGCCTTTGACTCGTTGTCTTATCAGTAGCTCACTAAATGTAGAAGGTTTCTCGACAAAAGATTCGCTCTTTCCTTTACCGGCAAAAACGTACCGCGGTTCTAGAAGTCACTATAATTTCATGCTTGCGATGCCTGAGGTTCCACTGAATATAGCTAGATGGCTGTGATCTTCTAGTGTTCTGCTTTAGTCAGCTAACCAATTTCACGCAAACTCTTGCATGCGCTGTATACGGCCAGAGGGCGTTGTGCCAGAAAAAAAAGTACCTATTTTTAACTCGGGAGTTCCAAACAATTAGGAAGGCGGGTAAATTCAGTAGGGAAGTCTGTCAACTGGTTATTGAGCTCTAGAACAACACGAGTACGTTCTTGTTTGTGTTTATGCAGGTTGGGTTTGTAACTGGGAGTAACCAGCAAAGCTTGCCCGCCAGTATCTTGTCTGATCTGGATGACGTACTAGTTCCTGTTCTTCATGCAGCCGCCAGCCATCACAGAGGCTCTGCTATAAACGTTGAACTACTTTTTAAAATTCTGCGGCTTCTATGATGTAATGAACCTTGCACTGCAATCGCAATCAAATATTGATGTGTTAAGGTCTCGGTAAAGGAAAACGAGGTGCCCACAGAAAAAAATTCTAGTCGCGCGAGTATTTTCGCTACAAAGGCAAGTTACATATCAAATTAAAGCTAAAAGACTAAATTACCTTATAAAAGATTTTATTTCATCGAATTTCAAAAGGTGCTTAAGTTTTTTGTTCTCGAACTCAGAGGTATCGAGTTTACTGCTGAAGCTCCAGCCCTTTCGCGTTGTTAAATATTCACTTCCTTTTTATTGCATCTGATTGACAGATAAAAGACCTAAAAAAGGGTGTGAGGAAATTTGCAGATGTCTCGTGTTAGCGGAATTATTGCATTTCAAACTAAAAAGTCGAATCTCGAGCGCGATTTACGCAAAGAAACTGACATAAAATGAGTTACAAAGGGAAATCGGAAAATTCCTCACACCCTTTTTGAGTCTATATCATTATCCATCATATCTGAAAGTTTCAAAGCGATAGCTTAAAACCTGTCCCGACTGGAGGTCGGAGAATTTTGATTTTTGCGTGTAAAATAGAGTGAGAGAAAATCAGCTCTAAAGATTTAGCGCGAAGTCCACGCTTGGCTGTTTAGCTCAGAAAAGGCTCATTTTAGAAGGGTTAAAAAGCACTTTCTGATTTTCTTTTTCTGCCAAATTAAAATTTAGGACCCACTCATGCCAAAAATCCAAAAAAAACAAAATCGAGCAATGTACTAAAATTTTCATTTACCGAGACCTTAAAGTTGGAGAATACTTGCCAAGAAGAATCGATAACTCTTAGGCTATGGCAATTAATTCAGTGCTAATGTGTTGTGGTGCTAAACATTATAAAGACCGTTTTCGTGCAACTGTTATATATTTTTATAGGCATTTTCAATTCTGGTCATAGAAGTCTGTCAACAGACTCAAAATTAGCACTACATACCAGGAGCCTATGTACATACCAAATAAATAGCATTACTTCAAGGTATTGCTGAAGAGCCTGGGTTGAGGGGGGGGGAGGACTCCCATATAAAAGTGACTGAAATGCTCTTCGAAAAACTAAAATTAGACCCCTAAGGGAGACCAATGTGGGTGTGGCTCAAATTTCAACTGGTCCCTAAAGGAGATTTCAGTGTGGTCAGTGTCGCGGCATGTTTTGTAAATTTCTTTATGCACAGCCCTAAGGAATACCTAAATGGGCGTGACATGGCCCCCTGTAAGTGGGGCTTTTTCAATCTTTGCCACTAGTGTTTGTGACAGTTGGTCACATTAAATCATAAAAGTGTTGGTAAATTATACTCAAATGTAATGCAAAACCAGAACATCGTTTAACACCTCTCTTACTAAGAAAGTTGGAGGTCTGAAAGTGTAAGTTATGAACAATTCATTTGGTGGGTTAAGCAGAAAGTGCACATGCCATATTGATACTAAAATGATCATTAATGTCTTTTGACCACCAAGAAATAATGGGATTAAAGTAAGATATTATAAATAAAATCTCTGGGCTGTGCAGTAAAACGGGAAATAACCCAATCACAGACTTAGTAGAGACATATCACTGTTCCTGGGGGGTTACCATAAAATTAATGACCGAAAAAACTAATAAACTTCTATTTAATTTTAAGGGTCCAAGCAGGGGCGTTTAATAGAAAGGAGGCGTTTAAAAGAGGGAGGCATTTATTCTCAAACTGTTACAAGCTCAATAAAACTAATATGCTTTCAGCAAAAATATCAAGAGGGTTTAAAAGTAGCGGAATATCCACTCCTAGGCCATGTAGAGATCCATATTGCTCTATCAAATTCCAACATCAATGTCAGAATCCTCGCTCAGGGTTATTGTGTTGCCATCGTTAGTCTGTACTCGCTTTGAACTTGACAATGAACAAGATGAGGTACGCAAAGCCTCGTTAATCAAGCAATAGTTAACAAATTTTTATGCAGAATTACTTTTGCTGCATGGCTGGTAACATGCCTAAGTATAACCAGTGAACTTAATATTATATTACATTGTATTTTGTAACATATTACTAGTGTAACGAAATAACCTAAAAAAGTGAGTGAAATACAATCATGAGGAATGTACCATTCCATCAAATTATTTATAGTGATTACATAAATAGGCCCATATGGATGCCATTAGGTTGCACATAAGTTATACCTGTGATGCAAGCATCGTTTAATATTGCTAGCTAACAAGTTCAAAGCCAAATGATAGATGACATGTGCTTTTGTTGTATTCCATATGCCATCAGTAATAATTATGTTATACAGTGTAACTGAATTTTCGCAAAGTATTTCAAAAAGATTATAAAATATTGCTAAATGTTTCTAAGAGCCAACTGCAATTTTGTAACAGTTTAAACAATAAAAAGCATTCAAACAGATTGGGTATTTTGATCCAGCAGAAATCAATAAAATAGAATTAATGCAGAGGCAGTGCCTGGTTATCTTTGTTTGTCTATTTGTTTTCAACTCATGGTTCCCAAGAATGGTGCCAGACGTCAATTTTGTATGAGGAAGATTTGCTTAATTGTTAAAATAGCCTGAAAAAACAGAACACGTATTCCCAGTGCAACAACTGGTACCGTAGAAAATATGACTGTTTTCTCAGGCTATTTTTATGATATCACAGTGACTACAACAGGAGTGAAGGAACTGGGGGCCGGGGATTTTTCCTGGCTTTTATGGACATTGTCCCTGGCTACTTCTACAGAAAAATAGAAGCAAAAGAATTCCTTAGCTGTTTAATTCCCCAGCTACTTGTTGTGATTACCTGAAAACTTGAAATGTTAGTGACAGCTCGCACTACAGTCAAACCTGTTTTAGGCAGTCACTCTTGGGGAAATGACCAATCAACACCCATAAAGCCCCAATATCAAAAAACAAATTCTCTAAACTGATGTCCACACAATTCCTAAAAAATCAGTTCAGAGAATTTGTAAAACGATCGAGCATTTTCCTTTTGGTGATCATTTCATCAATTCTCCTAACCTTTTCTCTTGATTATGTATTGATTTTGTTTGGAGAAAAATTAGTGGTGGACACTATTGGGGCTTAAAGGGTTAAACCACATAACAGAGGCTTAGCCACAATGAACTAGTAGGTGATGGAAACAGAGGAGATTTAGCAATTAAATGGTAATCATTGCACTGTCATGTTTTGATGATCTTCACCTCCAGGCTTGCCTGCAAATAAAGCCGTCCATCCTTGCTGCTAGGGACGTTTCACCAAGCCGCAAGGAGCAAGGAGCGACAGCTGTATACACAGGCTAGCTGGCGTAGCTCTGGTGAAAGCACAGCCAATGCAATCGTTTCTCAGTCAGTCCAAAATTTCTTGCTCAACTCAATCTGCTGAAGGACACAAACTGTATGAGAATCAAGCTACAGGGTTCGCATGCACCTTGAAAGTCCTTGGAAATTGTAGTAGGTGCTGGAATTTTGGTGCTAACTTTATCCAACCCAGCAAATGCAGAGAAACCTTCATTACAAAATTGCTCATGTTGTGGAAGAACTAAAAAGATATAGACTCAAGGCTCTTTTTTGCACTGAATGGAGTCCTTGAAAAAATGGGAAATGTACCCTTGAAAGTCCTTGAAAAGCCCTTGAATTTTTTGTTGAAAAAAGGGTACAAAACCTGAGGCTAGTAAGCAGAGTGTCCCCTGTCTAGCTTTTATTATCTGTAATAAATAATTCAAAGCATTCTCTAAAGAATGGAACAAAATGTTGGGGGGAAATTAGCCATGAAAACCCTCCACTCACCTAAACAGACCCTAAGAAAACAGTAAAAAAAAGGAAAATAATAAAAAAATGTGTTACGACTCTAAAGACGGAACTGGGAGTAAATTTTAAAATGGTTAAATATAGTAGAACTTTGGGTGAAATTCTAGTAAGAGATGACTGTACCTTAACAAGCATGTTTGGTGCTGTGTTAGAATAAACATTAACTGTTATGTATGACAGACCTGAACAGCATTGAAGTATCACATATTCAGAAAACAATAATATTTATTTTAACTTCACCTCTTTAAAATGGCTCAAATAATTATTATCATCACAAGTTGAGAACATCCATGAGTGCATGTTAACAAATATCTTTCTATCAGGAAAATATGGTTTGATAGTGTGCACAGACAGAACTCTCACAATGAGGTACAAAGCACGTGTACGAATCCCACAGAGGAAGTTACTTGTTGTTCAGTTTAAGCTTTTGGCGTTCTTTTTCTCTCACTCTGTACATAAAACTGAAAAACAAAAAGTTGAAGTAAATTTCAGTCAAGACAAAATGGCCAAATGACTGCTCTTTGTGACGAAAAAGTTTTGAAATTACAATTTATCATGTCAAACTTAAGATATAGTAGCCTGAGAAAGCAGCCAACATTTCGCAACTCGACCACTGGTTTCCTAACAAAACGACATCTGAGGAACAAGTGCAGAATATTCATACTGATGATGAGTCACTAACCACATCTGGGTAGTGTTTCTGATTGGTTTAAAATTTGTTGCAAGTGACGCCTCATCAGTATGGAATTTCTGGACTCATTTCTCAGACGTCAGTTTAAGGGGAAACCAGTGGTGGCATCATGAAATGTCAGCTGTTTTCTCAAGTTAAAAAAAAAAATACAGTGTTTCATCACAAGATCAAACACTAAGTATAGAGTTGAAAATACTTCCCATATTTGTATTAATTTTATATTTCCGCGAAGCCCCGCACATGCATCGACCCCAAATGAGTCATATTTTCTATTTTTGTGAAAAAGTATGAGATTGCTGCAGGGATGGTGCTGGAATCTTACCTGTTATCAGGAATAACGGTGCATTAAATAAGCTTATTATTCATTCAAAATATTTCCCCAATTCTGATTGGCTAAAAGCAAACGCATAATTCACCATAACCAATTACTGATGACCAAATTTGGAAGAATTTTGTGTTTAACGAGGAAATGACATCAAAATGCAGCCTTCTAAAGGTTAATGCACCATTAACTGAGAAGGACCTAGGGACGAGAATGAGTTGTTTTTGTTGTGACAACTAAAATGGCGGACACTTCACTTGTTTCGAGAGTGAGAACTACAGCTGGAACTAGGCAAAATAATGGCTAAAAACATAGCAAAAACAGCAAGAAGACAACTTGGAGGGCGACATCTGCTATTTGGAGAATATTTGCAGAGCTGGCCAAACCTAAACGTACACTGTCAAAGATAAACTTAACATCGATGCAGGTAAGCTTGTTTTAGCTATGTTTTTAAACTAGGAATTATTTAGAATGAATAATAAAGCGATTAATGAATTTGGCTTTCCTAGGATATGAAGAATTACCGGTAAGCAGATCTCGGAGAGAGTTATCCACCTCGGCCTAACACCCTCCTCGATCTGCTTAATTCTTTATATCCTACGAAAGCCGAATTTAAATATAATGTGTTTTGAAGAAACGAGTGGTACATTTACTATTATTAATAAGCTTATTATCTCGAGTATACATTCAACTTACTCGTCATATTCACACCTCTCCCATAAATGCTTCTCGTGATGGCATTTCCACGGCACCATGTAAGTTTCTTTTCGGCACTTCAGAAGCGGTATGAGCAAGTGTGCACAGTAATCTCGGCCAGACAAGGGCAGCTTGGCGTCCGCCATTTCTTTCTGTGTCACCTTCATCACTAACAACAAAACATGGCTTTCAATAACAATTTCTAGGAAGAGGAAGATCTTCATGCTTATTACAAAAAGGACCAAGCTACTTTTAAGAGGTATAAGTAGTGATAATAGGCAGTTTTACCTCCAGGCTCGAACTTTTCGAAGTTGGCGTCCGCCATGATGGATGTTGTACTCTATATTCCCACAATTCAATGCGGTGTGCAAGCGCGCAATGCGTACATGGTAAAATTTTTAATAGTAAATCAAAACTTGAAAAAATGAAGATTTTAATGTTACTCTTTTGCTGTTATTATCTTTCTTGTTACTGTTGATGTGCAATCAAGTTTGTAATTCTGCCATTGGGTAATTTTCTACCCTCGCAAGAATGATAGCTCGCATTATTATCACTATACGAGGCCAAATGACAAACTGCCCTCTCTAAAACGCTCTCCAACTTTTCGTGGGCCAAACGACAAAGTGCGAACTGTAAATGGAATTTGCAGCCCGCCACATGATTTCATGTTAAACAATTTTTCCTTGTGAAACAAATTTGTACGATTTGGCCTAGTGTATTGATAACAATGAGAATCACATGACTTTTGTCGCATCATTTGCACACTCGCAAATGATGCTACTCGGGCCGCAAAAAAGCTATATGACCTCCAAACGTCATGTGATTGTCCTACTAAAAAATTAAACGCGCTTATTTGATCAGACAGCAGAGCTTTTTTCCTGTAGTTCATCAAATCATATTCGCATTACAACAACACCAAGGAGCTTTATTTGCATGACCATAAAAGTACCCTGACAGTATTGCAAAAGCTATTTCAAGAACCAACTTTAACCACACCTGATCTTGTCACATTTTATGAATTCTACGCTTTAAAAATCGACCATTCTTTGTATCTAAATCATTTCGAACTTTTTAATTTACGGTGACCTGATTATTCTTTGTTTCCATTAACTTCACTAGTTGTATCATAAATTATGTTATTCAGCCGCAAGTTTTTAATTACCGTGATATAAATAACCTTGTGAAAATTTGTTAATAACGGCACATTGCCTTGTCAGTAATCAAGCCCTGAAAATTCATGTTAACAGCTAAAATTTGCTGGTGGAGTCACTTGTTTAACGTTTTTCAAGATGGCCAAGCCAACCTCAGAATGGTACTATCTTGGTACATGTAGGGTAGACATATGGGAACATTATTAACTTCACATGTTAAAATCACGGGGCTTCGTGCAAACGTTAAAACTAATAAAGCTCCCAGATGACCATAGAAATGAGGCAAGGTTCCTTTTAATACTCTCATTATTTTCATATATCGTTTTAACTGCCTTATAGGCAAATCCAGTCGCAAGGATAAAAAGTGGTTTTTAAATAGATATAATGGATTTCAATGAAGCGTGGTAAAATTGATCCACAACACAGGTGACTGAGAACTCTTGGTCAAGAGTTTGTTATAAAACGTGTGTTTAGAAGGCATCGTGAACTTTGGGGAAACAAATAAATTGCTGCTTGCCAAAGCGTCTCAGACAAGCTTTAAAACCCACTGGTTTAAATTCTACAAACTTGACAAGGATGCCTACAGGAAAGTACAGAGAAAAGTTAGCATTCAGCCTCGTTTCTATCTGTAACTGTAAAATGGGCCATTGCAGTAAAAGAATGAGATAGAGAAAGCAACAGTAATAGGAAAAAGAAAGCAAGAAAGCCTCTAATAACTTCAATACTCACGTAAATTGGCGCTCAAGCGAAGCAGGTTTAAACTTAGATCAAGTTTGTATGCCTAATAAAAATACGGCCTGTGTCTATTAGCAAAAAAGGGAAACAAAAATTTCTGTAGACGTGTACAGTGGAGAGCTTACTACGATTTTTTTTTCAGAATCAACTTACAGGTGCAATTTGTAAAGTGTTAAACGAAATTGCAATAACGCTGTGACAGAAAATAGACAAGTGAAAAAAGGTCCGAGGATAGAAATTTAATAGGCACGCATGGATCCCAGGAAGGCATTCGCAAGCTCCCCAATTGAAAGGAGAAATGTAGCACATAGGTTTTAATTCCACATAATTAGAAGAGAGGGCCTAATAATTTCCCTGGTTAAAGGCTAGTTTTCACTCCTAGCGACGGAATCGGAGCAGTCGTAATCAGAAGCGTCAGGGAACTTTACGATCTAGTAAAAACAGCGTTCTGATTCCGCTTACGACTCCGTCGTTTACGATCAATTGAAAACTGGGTCGTCGGAGTCACAACAGAAGCGGAAGAACTAAACCAATCAAAAAAGCGTGGGAACATGCATTGTGATTGGTTTATCCTTCTGCTTCTACTTCCAACTCCGACAATCTGGTTTTCACTAGATCGTAAAGGACGGAGTCGGAAGGGTAGTCAGAAGAAAATGGAAACGTTCAATTCTCACTGATTCTTCCGAGTCTTATTCCGTCGCGTTTATGACTACGATTTTCACAATATCGTAAGCGCTCTTAAGACTCCGCTTGCGGTTCCGACTCCTTGTTCAAGATTGAACTTAATTGTTACAGCCTCTTGTCCCTTAACGTATCCCTTTAACGTGTGGGTGATAATGAGTAAATCGTTTATTTTATGCGTCTTTCTGAAAGCGCTGCTTATAGTGTTTATAGCGCTGGAGACTTCTTTTGGCCACACGCTACAACATATATACTTTTGGACGGTAAACCATTTTATTTAATTTTGTGGTGAAACCTTGTTGATGTGAAGCCTTTGTTTCAGTGTATAAAGCCGATGAGTATGAATTTAAGTAATATCGTCATCATGCTTTTATTTTTGTACTTTCCATACGATTCTTTTTTTTTGTAGTTACACTACTCAAGGCAAGACTAATTCCAGATACTTAGGTTAAAAGTACGGCAGTTTTTGAATAGCCGCTGCTTTCTGATCTAGATAAAAGAAAGCGTGGAACATTTTACCAAGAGTACACATGCTCTGTCTTATAAAGGCATCAGTTAAATTGAGAATTCTAGATTTGAATTTTGAGGAGCAGTTGAAGAGATTTTTCAGAAGCGCCTCAAATTAGCAAGTCTCTCTGGTCGAAATACTTCAGTCATGACTAGCCCTCTTTCAAACACCACCATGAAAGAAAAGATAAGAATTTACCAAGTTGAAGCAAATGATATCATCATTTTAATCGTTAACAGCATCAGCTGTCCATTCACAGTTGTACTTAACTTGATGGTGATAATGGCTGTGAAAAGAAGGCGAAGACTTCAGACCACCAGCAACATCTTGCTTGCCTGTCTAGCCGCAACTGACACTTTAACTGGTCTCATAACGCAGCCAGCGTTTATTCTGTGGAGAACACTCGAAATGACTGGTGTGATAGTGTACAGTACAGCATACACGATCCACGTGAACGCAATAGGGGTCCTTTCTGTATGTTCGTGTCTTCATCTTATGTTAGTAACTGGCGAGCGGCTCGTAGCGATCAAATTTACCATGCACTACCCATATATTGTTACAACAGAAAATATTAAGATAGCAGTTACCTCATGTTGGATCCTTTCTGTCATTTTTCAGGTCCTCAAAGCTTTTAAATCGACAACGGATGCCTCGGTCTTTTTCTCCATTCTAGTGTTGGGGTCTTGTATCGTTTTTGTGGCCTCTGCATACGTTGCTTTGTATTTTGAAGTACGAAGACATGAAAAATTGATCAAAGGTCAGCAGATGCCTCAAGAAGAAACAGAAAGTTTCGCTAAAGAGAACAAAGCACTTAAGACATCTGTATATGTAGTCGGTGCATTAGTGCTGTGTTTCGCACCCGTTGTTGCTGTTGGCTTAACATTTAAAATAACCGAACGAAAAGAGGTTGCTCTGATGTTCGGGTGGGTGCGTACGATTGCCATGTCAAATTCTCTTCTGAATCCACTATTGTACTGTTGGCGGCAAAAACCACTGAGACAATATATATTTAAAACGACAATGGTCGTTCATCCCGTCGAGTAAAAAAACCGTTTAATGACAGCAGGTAGAGAGGATACGTCCGCTGATGTAAATATGAAAATGTTGCAAATTTTTCAGGTAAAATAGGACTAGGAGACTAGCTAATTGTAAAATAGGAGTTTCAACGTTAAAGTAAGCTGTGCCAGTGAGTGAAAATGAGGGATGTATATTGAACTTGGAAAAAAATAAGATTACTAAAAGTCAGAGTGCAATAAAATGACGCTAAATTCTACTTATAGTTCAGCTACGCGCTCCGGGTTAATCTTCGTTCGTTTCAGCGATCGTTTGGAAAAATTACCACGATTCATATATACGATTCACCTATTACTTTTTTTTTTTCATGATTTTAAAGTCGAGCTTGCTTTAGCAGCGAGACTCCAAAAATACAAGCGTTACATCATCATCATCATCATCATCTTCTTCTTCTTCTTTTTCTCGTGTGTGCGCGCCAAAAGGGGGGGGGGGGAGGGTCATGGTCCCAGGAGCGAGTCTTAGCGGAGACTGTGGAAATTGGGGATAAGAATCGCGGCATGACGAGCGCCATGCAATGCATTTGTTTTGTGAAGAATGCTTAGGAAAGATTAATGCAAAAGATGTCGAGCTTTTCCGGAACGGGTCGGTCCACGAACTCTATCGCTTGAAAGCGTTGGTTACTTTGGAACAAGAAGTGAATACTTAGTGGTCGGAAAAAAGAAGAATTTTTTATAATGAGCAAAACTTCGATCGATTGGTGAGGCTAACTGGTTGGGTGTTGTAAAATTTCCTTGTATGCAAATGAGTCTTGTGATGAGCATGCGGTTTATTTTCGGCGATGTTTGAAATGACACGCCATGTTCATCACGTTTTTGCTGTTTGGCAATAATATAATTTCTGTCGAATCGAGGCACTTGATTCGTACTCAATCAATTCAGAAAAAAATCTTCGAATACGATGTGAAAAGTAAATATTCTGAAGAATACTCGACCGTCGACAAAGTTAGGACGTGAAAAACTTTTAGCAGTGAAATCCTGTTTTGTGTGTAATTGATCGCCTCCTCATTTCTTTTGATCTCCAAGCAAGCTCGACTCAACGCTTTTAAGAGCGTTCCTGTTTTTTGTTTTTGAAATCCTTACCGCTTTATTTCATTGCCGCAAGGAGAAGCAGAAAGATTCCTCAAAGATAACAAAACGCTGAAGACAATTGTATATGAAGTCTTTGCTTTAGTCGTGTGTTTTGTGCCCTTAATTATTTCAACTCAGTTTCAATGTTCTTCTAAAAGATAGGGAGACAAAAAGAGTCAGCTAATTACCTTTCAAAGGTCCCGCACGTTTGCTATTTTGAATTTGCTTCTGAATCCATTTATTTACTCAGGGGCACCGTACCCAACGAGAATATAGCTCAAAACCACTGAAACATAGCATTGTTAAACATATTTTAGTATTTAAACGGTAGATATAGGCGTATTTTTATCCCCTAAAATTATTCATCTGTTAGGATTTCCTAGCTAAACGTCTAGTGATAGGAAAATCATCAAAACTTACGTTTTCAAAAATTTCAGCCAGAAAGAAGGCTCCCGAAAATTCTAGGTGACCTTTTTAGGGTAAAAATCCGTTAAAAATGGCGAATTATACCATTTTTTAGATATTCGAAAATACTAGGAGAGGCAGGCAAGCAAGAAATTTTACAACAAATGTTCCGAAAATTCTAGATCTCAAATCGTCTTCCGAACAGATATTTTTCGAAAATTGACGTTGGGTGCCCCTGTTTACTGTTGGAGGCAGGAAGAAATGAGAAAATTTGTTTTCAAAACGAAAACGCAGGTTGTTCAGCCCGTTATGTGACAAACTTAGCATAACTAAGTTAAGGATATCCTGTACCAACATCTAAATACTACCAAAGGCGTTTCTCTAAATCCATATTATACAAAAGTGTTGTCATTGGGGGTATATGTTAATCAGTGAAAAAAAAAGAATTAATAAAAAAAATTAAAATTAAGAAAAACTTAAAAAATCCAAAGCAAAGTTAAATTTATATATAACATCCCTGTTATGTTTTAACAGTTACACGTTTGAGTACGTAAATGCAGCCGAATAGACTGTATACAAGTTATACCACACAATATGTTTACTAATTGTCTTTATAGTTAATAAAGATAATTCTTTAAAAAGGATATACTACTAGGTGTTTTTACTGAGTAGCGCCCCCAAATGTTCGAAACTTGAAAACCGTCAAAAATTGTTAATTGCACAGATTAGCAGGAGGCAGAAGCCTCTCTTCTGTCTTTCCCCTTCCCATCGTGCCCCGTGTGCTTTCTTTTTCTTTCTCCCCAGCCTCCCTGCGACACAAAGAGTCCTCTGAAGAGGAGAGACGGGGAGTTATGTCACCTGTTGCATAACAAGTTTGCCGCGGGCTGGTAAAAAGCACAAAATGTACTGATTCACATGTGGGTAGTCAGGGTTTATTCTAGAACTTGGCCAGTGAGGGTCAAATGGACCCCCTTCTGTAATTTTAGGGGGCCCTTTTTCAAGAAAGGGGGTCCCCCAGAAGGGATTTGGACTTATTGGTACAGACTGTTTCATTGAGAAAACGAACGTTGATTGAATTTATCATTAATTTTTTACAGACTTGAAAGTACTGAACATGAGGTTAAAATGACTCTGATGCTTTAACGTAAATGAAAAAGCTTTTGCTTCAAAGTTAGTGGAAAGTTTGTTTGCTAGGGAAGGTCAGTCACTCACTCTAGCTCGCACCTCGACGCCCCTTTGCGCCGTTGCAGCTATGCAAGAGTATTTTCTCCTAGTTAGGCCTCAGCATGGACCTTTGTTTTATTTCGCATCAGGTCGCGATCGTTATAATTACCTCACCCGGGGCATCGTATCCGACCTCCTTAGGGATAGTGCTAGGGTTGCTGGCCTACCTTATCAAAGCCTAAAAGGGCATAGCTTTCGCATCGGTGCGGCCTATCCGTTGCAGCCGCCGCCGGCTTGCCAGATTGGCTTATAAAAGTTCTTGGTCGCTGGTCCTCGGACTGTTACCAGCTGTCTATCAGAACTCCTCAATCTACATTAGAGTCTGTGGCTCCCAGGATGGCTATTGTTCCTGGACGCTTCCAGCCAATCTAGCTGCCATTTTTTCTACTTGTTTATTCGTTTTCTCGTTTGGGCTTGGAGGGATGCATTGCCTCGCATGCATCAGTGGCGGTTAAGTCTGCGCAGCTACTTCCCCCAAGCTTGTTGGCCGCGTTGCCGTTTAATATCGCCTGCAAGCCGATACTCTTGTCCGATCCAGCGCGTGCTGTATTTCATTCAGCTCGTAGTGCTGGGGAGATAAGTGAGGTTCTTTGGTCACGCCATCGCCGGAAGTCGCACAGGCTAACCTAGCGCAAGGCACTGCTCCCCCATTAACGCCAACTTGTCATTATTTGTTTTTATAATTTAGTTACTGCGTTTAACATGCATCGCAAAGGAACAGAGACATTAATAATGATAATCACATGACTTTTGTCGCATATAGTTTATTTGTGTCCCTCGTAGTAGCATCATTTGCACACTCGCGATCACTCGCAAATGATGCTACTCGGGCCGCAAAAAAGCTATGACCTCCAAACGTCATGTGATTGTCCTACTAAAAAATTAAACGTGCTTATTTGATCAGACAGCAGAGCTTTTTTCCTGTAGATCATCAAATCATATTCGTATTACAACAAGACAACAAAGAGCTTTATTTGCATGACCATAAAAGTACCCTGACAGTATTACAAAAGCTATTTCAAGAACCAACTTTAACCACACCTGATCTTGTCACATTTTATGAATTCTACGCTTTAAAAATCGACCATTCTTTGTATCTAAATCATTTCGAACTTTTTAATTTACGGTGACCTGATTATTCTTTGTTTCCATTAACTTCACTAGTTGTATCATAAATTATGTTATTCAGCCGCAAGTTTTTAATTACCGTGATATAAATAACCTTGTGAACATTTGTTAATAGCGGCACATTGCCTTCTCAGTAATTAATTAAGCCCTGAAAATTCATGTTAACAGCTAAAATTTGCTGGTGGAGTCATTTGTTTAACGTTTTTCAAGATGGCCAAGCCAACCTCAGAATGGTGCTATATATCTTGGTACATGTAGGATATACATATATATGGGAACATTATTAACTTCACATGTTAAAATCACGGGGCTTCGTGCCAACATTAAAAACTAATAAAGCTGCCAGATGACCATAGAAATGAGGCAAGGTTCCTTTTAATATTCTCATTATTTTCATATATCGTTTTAACTGGCTTATAGGCAAATCCAGTCGCAAGGATAAAAAGTGGTTTTTAAATAGATATAATGGATTTCAATGAAGCGTGGTAAAATTGATCCACAACACAGGTGACTGAGAACTCTTGGTCAAGAGTTTGTTATAAAACGTGTGATTAGAAGGCATCGTGAACTTTGGGGAAACAAATAAATTGCTGTTTGCCAAAGCGTCTCAGACAAGCTTTAAAACCCACTGGTTTAAATTCTACAAACTTGACAAGGATGCCTACAGGAAAGTCCAGAGAAAAGTTAGCATTCACCCTGTAACTGTAAAATGGGCCATTGCAGTAAAAGAAAGAGATAGAGAAAGCAACAGTAATAGGAAAAAGAAAGCAAAAAAGCCTCTTATAACTTCAATACTCACGTAAATTGGCGCTCAAGCGAAGCAGGTTTAACTTAGATCAAGTTTGTATGCCTAATAAAAATACGGCCTGTGTCTATTAGCAAATGAGGGAAACAAAAATTTCTGTAGACGTGTACAGTGGAGAGCTTACTACGATTTTTTTTTCAGAATCAACTTACAGGTGCAATTTGTAAAGTGTTAAACGAAATTGCAATAACGTTGTGACAGAAGATAGACAAGTGAAAAAAGGTCCGAGGATAGAAATTTAATAGGCACGCATGGATCCCGGGAAGGCATTCGCAAGCTCCCCAATTGAAAGGAGAAATGTAGCACATAGGTTTTAATTCCACATAATGAGAAGAGAGAGCCTAGTAATTTCCCTGGTTAAAGGCTAGTTTTCACTCTTAGCGACGGAATCGGAGCAGTCGTAATCAGAAGCGTCAGGGAACTTTACGATCTAGTAAAAACAGCGTTCTGATTCCGCTTACGACTCCGTCGTTTACGATCAATTGAAAACTGGGTCGTCGGAGTCACAAACAGAAGCGGAAGCACTAAACCAATCAAAAAAGCGTGGGAACAGGCATTGTGATTGGTTTATCCTTCTGTTTCTGCTTCCAACTCCGACAATCTGGTTTTCACTAGATCGTAAAGGACGGAGTCAGAAGGGGAGTCAGAAGAAAATGGAAACGTTCAATTCTGATTCTTCCGACTCTTATTCCGTCGCGTTTAAGACTACGATTTTCACAATGTCATAAGCGCTTTCAAGACTCCGCTTGTGATTCCGACTTCGACTCCTTGTAATATTGAATTTAATTGTTACAGCCTCTTGTCCCTTAACGTATCTATTTAACGTGTGGGCTATAATCAGTAAATCGTTTACTTTATGCGTTTTTCTGAAAGCGTTGCCTTTAGCGTTTATAGCGCCGGAGACTTGGCCACACGCTACAACATATATACTTTAGGACGGTAAACCATTTTATTTAATGGTCTTTAATTTTATGATGAAACCTTGTTTATGTGAAACCTTTGTTTCAGTATATGAGGCCGATAAGTATAAATTTAAGTAATATCGTCATCATGCTTTTATTTTTGTACTTTCCATTTGATTCATATTTTCTTTTAAATTACACTACTCATGGCAAGACTAATTCCAGATAAAAAGGCGGCTTTTTTTGAAAAGCGGCTGCTTTGTGATCTAGACAAAAGAAAGCGTGGATCATTTTACCAGGAGTACACATGCTCTGTCTTATAAAGGCATCGGTTGAATTGAGAATTCTACATTTGGATTTTGAGGAACAGTCGAAGAGATTTTTCAGAAGCGTCTCAAATTAGCAAGTCTCTCTGGTCGAAGACTTCAATCATGACTAGCCCTCTTTCAAACGCCACCATAAAAGAAAAGATAAGAAATTCACCAAGTTGAAGCAAATGATATCATCATTTTAATCGTTAACAGCATCAGCTGTCCATTCACAGTTGTACTTAACTTGATGGTGATAATGGCTGTGAAAAGAAGGCGAAGACTTCAGACCAACAGCAACATCTTGCTTGCCTGTCTAGCCGCAACTGACGCCTTAACTGGTCTCATAACGCAACCAGCGTTTATTCTGTGGAGAACATTCGAAATGACCGGTGTGATCGTGTACAGTGCAGCATACACGGTCCACGTGAAAGCAATAGGGGTCCTTTCTGTGTGTTCGTGTCTTCATCTTATGTTAGTAACTGGCGAGCGGCTCGTAGCGATCAAATTTACCATGCACTACTTACATATTGTTACAACAAAAAATATTACGATAGCAGTTACCTCATGTTGGATCGTTTCTGTCATTTTTCAGGTCCTCAAATCTTTTAAATCGACAGTGGATGCTTCGGTATTTTTCTCTCTTCTTGTGATAGGATCTTGTGTCGTTTTCGTTGCCTCTGCATACGTTGCTTTGTATTTTGAAGTACGAAGATATCAAAAATTGATCAAAGGTCAGCAGATGCCGCAAGAAGAAGCAGAAAGATTCGCTAAAGAGAACAAAGCGTTGAAGACAGCTATATATGTAGTCGGTGCATTAGTGCTGTGTTTGACACCCGCTGTTGCTGTTGGGTTAACATTTAAAATAACGGAACGAAAAGAGGTTGCTCTGCTGTACGCGTGGATTCGCACGATTGTCATGTCAAATTCTCTTCTGAATCCACTGTTGTACTGTTGGCGGCAAAAGCAACTGAGACAATATCTATTTAAAACCACATTGGTCGTTCATCCCGTCGAGTAACAAAAAAAAACCGTTTAATGACAGCAGGTACACGAGGATACGTCCGATGATGTAAATATGAAAATGTTGCCAAACTTTTAGGTAAAATAGGACTAGGAGACTAGCTAATTGTGAAATAGGAGTTTCAACGTTAAAGTGAGCGCAGCGGTACCAGTGAATGGAAATGAGAGATGTTACTTGGGTAATAAATGCTCCTATTGAATTTGGCGAGGAATAAAAAAGTCACGGTGTAATAAAATGACGCTAAATTCTACTTATAGCTCAGCTACGCGCTCCGGGTTAATCTTCGTTCGTTTCAACGATCGTTTGAAAAAATTACGATTCACCTTTTAATTTTTTTTTTTCATTTCTAAGTCGATGAGCGAGGAGAAACGCCTGCTGTTCGCAGGCTTTTATATGGATGTCCTGCTTTGGTTCCATTCCTTAAGCAAAATAGTTCTTTTAAAAATCATTATTTTTTCATAAGCCGCAATTACGTTTTTTAATAGTATGGTAATATTAACATGGAAAACATGATTTTGTTAAAAAGCACATTACCTTCTGCACGCAAGCACTGCAAATTCGTGTCGGCAACAGCGAAAACTTACTGGTTGGGTAAAGTCGTTTAAAACGTCCTTCAAGATGGCCAAGCCAACCTCACGGTCACAGGTTACAATCAGCTGGCTACAGGCCACGTGCAAACGTTAAAAACTACAGCTACCGTAGAATACATGACAAGGTTTCTTATAAAAACGGTATTTTCATTATTCTCTTATATCATTTTTGATTAACTGGCTAGGGTAATCCAGCCGCCAAGATTAAAAGAAGTTGCCGCCGTCGTTGCTCATTAGGGACCTTAAGATCCGACGACGGTGACGGCAACGGGAACGCCACAAAAGCAATAGGTTTAATTAGCAAAACAACTATTTTGCACGTGCATCACACTTTTTTGTACATTTCTTTGCCGTCACTGCACGACTACGACGTGAAAATGCCTACTTTCCCGATGTACAGAGGAAGTACACAAGCGACGACGAAATTTCCTCTCTCTTTCTGAACTTGAATATGGTTCTTAGGAATTCAACTTTAGGAGGGTTCCCCAACATTTGACAAAGTTAGTGACTTGGAGTAATCGCTATGAAGATTGCAAGAACGCGAATTCACTTTTTCAGCGACGTTTTCTCCGCCAGCTTCCGCCGTCGCCGTCCTCGGATCTTAAGGTCCCTATTAAAGAACGTCCTAAACACTAAAGATTTGAATGGAGCGTGGTAAGGTGGCAACAAGGAGCTGTGAACCTTAGGCGAAGGAGATAAAACTGGCTGCTAGAGCCTTAAGATTGGCTAAACTTAGAGGCTGAAAGTCCAAAAACTTGATTAGGATGCCTAGAGACGCTGCCAGAGACAACGCCTCTAAAGAAGAGATGACATTAATTCCCCTAGTTGAAGCAACTGAGGTAACCAACTTGATTATTCACAGCATCGCTTGTCCCTTCACAATTCTCCTTACCGATGTGATGGTGATTTTGGCTGTAAAAAGAAGACGAAGACTTCAGACCAAAAGCAACATCTTACTGGACTGTCAATAGCCGCAACTGACGAGTTAACCAGTCTAATCGCGCAGCCGGCGTTTATTCCCTGGAAAACATTTAAATTGACTGGTGTACTCATAGGCAATTCCAATCCACCACGAGTGATTCATAGCTCGGCAATTCGCGTCCTCTCCGTTTGTTCCTGTCTTCATCTCATGCTTGTAACTGGCGAAAGACTAGTGGCCATTAAATTTACCATGCCACACCCATATATTGTTACTAGACAAGTCGCTTCTGAGGGTTTTTAATTTTTTGAACATACAGAGATTATTTCGTTTATTTCCATCACTGTAGTCCTGAGTTCTTGCATCGCTTTCGTTGCCTTTGCATTTCTCGTTTTTTTCCTCGAAACACGGCGCCATCTGAAGATGATGAAAACTCAACAGATGCGGCAAGAAGAAGCAGAAAGATTCCTCAGATATAACAAAGCGCTGAAGACAACTGTATATGTAGTCTTTGTTTCGCGCCCTTGGTTATTTCAACTTCAGTTTCAATGTTCTTCTCAAAGATAGGGGGACAAAAAGAGTCAGCCATTACCTTTCAACGGTCCCGCACGTTTGCTATTTTGAATTCGCTTCTGAATCCATTTATTTACTGTTGGAGGCAAGAAGAAATGACAAAATTTGTTTTCAAAACATAGACGCAGGTTGTTCACCCCATTATGTGACAAACCTAGCATAACAACTGTAAGTTAAGGTTATCCTGTACCAACATCTAAATACTAAGTAGCCTGCGAGCAAGCTCTCCTATTTGGGCGAGCGTAGCGAGCCTCGCGAGAACGCGCGAGCAAGGGGCCGAGGAAAGGAGAGCTTGCAACCATCTCTCATAAATTTTCATTTCCACCCCGGAAACCCCGGGACTCCACAAAGCGCGAAAATTGTCACCGCAAACGTGCGGCAGATTAGAAAAGTGACAACCGCCTGTCAAGTAAGTTTAGACAGCCGAGGGCGCCTAGAATTATTTATTTATAAATCGCTTTCGCAACAGCATTAAAGCAATGTTTTTAATATCACTGATATGTTTTTTTTTTTTTCACGGGGACATCGAACTTCAACGTGTCCGCTCGGATAAGAACTCACTACTTTGATTCTCGTTTCGTTTACTTTTGAAAGGTCGTCCATACTGCAGCGTAGAAGACTACTCCCTATCGCAATCACCAACAAAAACATCATATATTTGTCCGTCTGGAACTGGATAATAGTGTTTTTTGGTTCTCTTAAAGTTTACTCCAGTTGCTTCCAACTCTTTCTCTTTTCCTTCTTTACGATCAAGCTACACAGCTACACTGTCAAGTACATGTTTCTGAATTTTTCTACTCAGTAGAATTCAATCGGGCAAAGAAACCGATGTTGGAAGGCAGCGCTTTAATCACTCTTCACTTTCACTCTCCCGGTTTTCAGAACTAAACAAGGCGCTTGACACAAATGAATACAACTGATGAAGGGTTTTCATTTTCCTTCCACAAGAACTACAAACTCGGTCCGACTTATCCTCGGCACGCAATATTCTCTTTGCGAGAATTACAACAAACGAGCCCGTCTGCATTGAGCGCTGAAACAAGTTCTCGGTATACCAATCTGATCCCCCTGAGAACCAAATTTGACACACAGACGAAGCGGGTGCCAGCTTGGCCTGTTATCAATCAACTTTGATTTCCGGAACGTCATTTTTCAGCCAATGGTATTTCCCTTCGTCTGGGCGAAGTACAAATGAAAATTTGTAAGGGATGGTTGCAAGCTCTCCTTTCCTCTGCCCCTCGCGGCTTCGCCGCTCGCTCGCGCGTTCTCGCGAGACTCGTTTCACTCGCCCAAATAGGAGAGCTTGCTCGCAGGCTAAATACTAAGAGGATACCTAACGGCGTTTCTCTGAATCAATATTATACAAAAGTATTGTCATTGGGGGCATATGTTAATCAGTGAAAAAAAAAACTAATTAAAAAAATTAAAATGTTGAAAAATATATTTAAAAAATCCGAAGCAAAATTACATTTATAAATAAAATCACTGTTATGTTTTAATAAGTACACGTTTGAGTAAAGGCAGCCGAATAGACTGTGTACAAGTTATATCACACAATATGTTTACTAATTGTCTTATGTAGTTAATAAAGATAATTCTTTAAAAAGGATGTACTACTAGGTGTTTTTACTGAGTAGCGCCCCCAAATGTTCGAAACTTGAAAACCGTCAAAAATTGTTAATTGTACAGCAAGAATACATATTGTGAATATTTTACTAAAACCTCAAGCCTGTTCGTTTGTCTGGGTTATAATCTATCAGACAAGATATTTAAAATTGTCTGAACTTGCAACTGAACAACGAAAGAAAATTGGTAAGACTACATAGTCATGCATCTTATACTATACTCCTCTGTGGCTCCAAATGCAGGGTTTCATTTCCTTTATGTACACACAAAAAACAAACAAACAGACAAACAAAAAATATAACGTCTGCTAGCCTAGCCTTAAAACATATAATTAATTGCGTATCATTTGGAGTAAACCATGATACTTATGTTTGAAAGGTGAACCATTTTATTTAATGTTATGGTTAAAGCATGTTAATGTAAAACCTTTGATTTACCATCAGATACGATGAGAATAAGTTAAACGTAGTGCATTCATTTTGTATCTATTTTTATACGATTTAATATTTTAAAATTATTTTACTTAAGGCAAGACTATTTCCAGCTCCTTAATAGATTAAAAGTGTTGTTATTGAATAGCAGCTATATGAGAGAGCGTGGAAATTTCTAAATTGCGTTCGAATGGTTACCTTTGGAATTGTGGTTGCAGATGATTCATTTTGTTACCAACGTTGAGAAGTTTATGCTATTCAGCGAACTATGGGGATGAGTCAAATCAGGAATATGGGTTGGACAGAGCAACGTTTTTTATTTCTTTATTTCTTCCTTTCTTTTGTATCAAGAACAAATTATTAGCGCAGTGTCTTCAATGCTTTTGTAGCTTTTTAAATAAATATAACACGAGGGAAATACAAGAATATGAGCGTTCCTGGCATTAAACGATGATGTAAAATACTACAAAACAGCATTAATTTTCTGCAAGCCAACAGTGTTTTCAGCTAGTTCTTAATTAACCGAATTATTCCCCGTAGCATTTCTAAACAACAGTCATTATAATTATTTTCTCCGAAGCGCTCGATCAAAAATCAACCTAAATACACACAAGGCTCTGCGAAAGAGTGGCATACAGTATTTCGGTATCCGTTACTTGACTCAAACTATATAAAACGTGTAGAGTTTCTATGCTAAACATTCGTTGTCAGGCTTCTCGCACGTTGAGTTTAGGTAGCGTTCTCTTAACGTCGAACGCAAAAATGGCATTTGCTGTGAAGCACTAAATTAGAAGTCCATAGTTGAGAGAACTGTTTCAGGAGTTCCTAATATCTAAGATAACGAAGCCAATGGGGATTATTCTTCTATTACGGAGCGGCACGTTTGCCATATTGAATTCGCTTTTAACCCTTTCACTGCCAAATGTGGCCAAAGGCAAATTTCTACCAAATTTGCGAATTTCATTTTCTCAAATTTTGACAAACAAATAACATCATGGGAAAGTACAGGCAGAGAGCTTTCATTTGAATGGTCACATCATAGGATTTCGTCCATAGACTCAAAAGTTAGAGTCACCTTACAAAACTCCATCAAATACTCTGGCAGTGAAAGGGTTAAACCAGTTGATTTACGAGTCAGAGCGACTAGTGGAGTTTATTTTTAAGATCAAACTGTAGCCCTTTACCTTCTGAATGACAATACTAGCATTGAAACTGTACAGTTTAGTAATTTTTAAGTCTGAAGCTAAAAAAAAGTCCTTTCTTTAGCTATACACACCAGCAGATTGTATAGGCCTTATGCAAAAATATACAATAATACTCTTTGCTTTCTCTTCAAGCCCAATCGATATACGAAAGTAACTTCATGTAACAGACATTGGAAGTGCCAGTCACTGCACTCAACAACTTATCTGTCTTTAATCTTTAAAAAGTATCTCCACCAATTGCTGATGTGTTACTGGAGCATTACTGAGACTTAATCCAGCGTTGACTACTGTAGAAAAAATAATAAATTGACAATGAATAAATAAATAAAACATAAATTTAAAAAATACATAAGTGAACCGTAGTACATTTAGGTTTCTGGGAAACTGCCCACCTACCCCTCCCCTAGCCCAACATTTTGCCCTAAGTGAGAAGTAAGTGTTAATGTTGACTTAGGGGAGGGGTAGGTGGGAAGTTTCCCAGAAACCTAAATCGATCAGCGAATTTTAAATCGCGTGAGGGAACCAAGCAACGACGACGATAACGGTGGCGAAACGTCTCTTAGAAAATGAATTTACGCTGTTTCAAACTTCACTGGTCTTATTCCATGTCTTTCAAATTGTCAAATACTGGTGAATTTTTCTAGAGTTAAATTCTAACTTAAAAAAAAGAAAGAAAGAAAGAAAGAAAGAAAGAAAGAGAGAAAGAAAAGAAGAAGAAGAAGAGATTTGTCCCGTGTTCACGTCCTCCACAAAACGTAAAATTACTAGGGCGTGGTCGTTCGACGTCGGCCAAGAAATGTGCAAAAACGCGTGATAAAACGTGTTAACTAAACCTTCGTTCTCGTTGCTGCCGCCGTCGCCTTTGCTTTAACTCACGACTAGCTCAAAATAACTGCTTTTTCTCTAGAGTGGTGAATTCCCATTCCCATTTTTAAATGCTCCCCCAGTCTTCCCCACATGTGAGGAAAATATAACATACTGAAAAAGTGGAATACCTCATTTAAGATTGTTATTACTTAGCTAACCCCTTCGTCCTTAAATTGCCCGTAACCGCCGGTGGGGATCCAAGTCCCTTCTGCCGCTTGTGACGTCATTAGTTTTAACGGTCAAGAACAACTTTGACAACTAATCTATGCAGGGTGATCATACCAGAATGAGAGCGATTCACTCAAGGAGGTCGGGGAAACAGGCAAAAAAAAAAAATTGTAACGCTGACCCGAAAATTCCCAGCAAGAAAAGCGAAAGAAGACTGGTGGGGAGGCGCATGCTAATATTTTGCATCTGAATCCGAATGCCGCGAAAAAACTAGATCTCGATCTTTATAGCCAGAGAGTGACCAAAAACGGCTCGGTTAGCTTCAAAACGCGTTTTTCGGCGAAATTCCCAGAGGCGAAAGGGTTAAGTAGTCAGAAGGTATCTAATAGAAAATTAGCCTTCGAGCAAGCTCTACATTTGAGGGATATCGTGAGAAGTCACGCGCGATCGCCACACGAGAGAGAAGACGCGAGACTCTCGCTCCCGTGTTCTCGCGCGGCTAGCTTCGTTCACCACTCAAAATAGAGAGCTTGCTCAGAAGCTAATGGATAACAAGCGTTTTTACACGAACCCTTATTAACTGTATTTGTCCTTTTGATTTCCTCAATTAACTTTTTGCTGTTAAATTCTTCATTGGCTGCTTCCAGTTGTGACACCAAGATACCTACATTCTGAACAAACCACAATTCAAACTTACTTAAGGTGGCTAAGCGCATTAACCTTTTGAGCCCTGAGAGTAACTGACAAAGATATATTTTCTCCTTACAATGTCAAGACAAAAGGTTATAAGAATTAATGAAATGATCACCTAAGGAAAAATACTTTAATCTTTAAGCAAATTCTGTCGACCATTTCTTCAAGGAAATGCGTGGAGAGAATTACACTGTAGTACTGAAGATCAAAAGAAAAAGCTATAGACAGCGGTATCGCCGCTATTTGGTCAGACTATGAGTAGTCCCCATTTTTCCTCAGGGATACTAGAGCGAGCGAAACGCGAGCGCGCGTGAAAATCATCCCACGCGAGAAAGGCGAGACGCCGCGGTGTAGTCTCCCCCCAAAATTTTTTCGGGCCGTCGGGCCTCAGTTTGGTCCAAAAGTCAGGCGGGGGAGGGGGTGGGGGAGGGGCCCTCCCCTGGATCCACCACTGAACCTCACTTTAGTTTTCGACCTTTATGTGGAGGAGAACCACAGATGATAACACTGGACATGATTATCAAAGATGATGGACAATCGCTCCAAAAACACGAATTGTACAAAATCCGTAAAGCAGGATCGAGACTTCGTCAAATAGGGGCACTTCCGAGTTCCAAAAACCCTCACTTTCAAAATGAGGCCAAGTGCACAACCTTTCGTGTGAAAATGAGTTTTACTTGCATGAGAATGAAAAATCATTTCCATATCAAAGGTTGAGCACTTAACCTTGTTTTGATACAGAGGTCGGGGGAACTCGGAAATGGCCTATTGCGTATACCACCCTTTTATACCATTATCTCCACAACAGCTTTCAGAATCATTCAAATAGTTGTGAGCCAAAACCACACTGAGAACGGCAATCCCGCCAGAGAACCGCACGTTCTATTGGCCATTTCGGAGTTGCGTAGAGCACTGGAGCAAGTTTCAAATTTCAACAAATCGATATAAACTGACACCACACTATAAAAGGTCATGTTGAGGTTGGTTATTTGACCCAGTTTGATGCTCTAAAGTTGAACAGGGATCAAGTTATGACTCTTGAAACATGGTTAAAGATCAAAACAAACGTCTGTAATTTTGTGACAACGTCCCCCAAAACCAAATAAACTCTTTCAAAATAATATATTCAGTTTTTCTGTTAAACTGTAAAATTGGTCATGCATCTACTACTCAGAAGGAACTAATTCGAAAATCACTATGTTTGTCCATTTTCAGAAATATCACAGAAGTCATGAAAAAAATTAAGAGTTTATATGGTTTTGGGGGATGCTGTCACAAAATCACAGACGTTTGTATGGATCTTTAACCACGTTTCAAGAATCACAACTTGATCCCTGTTCAAACTTAGAGCACCAAACTTGGTCAAATAACCAATCTCAACATGACCTTTTATATGGTGGTGTCAGTTTACCAATTAGTTTAAATTTGAAACTCCCTCCAGTTCCATACGCAACCCTGCAATGGTCATTATGGCAGAGGCCTCTCTTCTGTCTTTCCCCTTCCCATTGTGCCCCGCGCGCTTTCTTTTTCTTTCTCCCCAGCCTCCCTATGACACAAAGAGTCCTCTGCAGAAGAGAGATGGGGAGTTATGTCACCTATTGCATAACAAGTTTGCCTCGGGCTGGTAAAAAGTGCAAAATGTACTGATTCACATGTGGGTAGTCAGGGTTTATTCTAGAACTTAGCCAATGAGGGTCGAATGGACCCCCTTCTGTAATTTTAGGGTGCCCTTTTTCAAGAAAGGAAGTCCAAGAAAGGGGGTCCCCCAAAAGGTATTTGAACTTATTGGTACACACTGTTTCATGAGAAAATGAACGTTGATTGAAATAAATCATTTACAGACTTGCAAGTACTGAACATGAAGTTAAAATGAATCTGATGTTTTAACGTAAATGAAAAAGCTTCTTTGCTTCAAAGTTAATAGTTTAAAGATGTTTTTGAATACTTTATTAAGAAAAAAAAATAGTATTTATCCTTGGGTGTATTTTTTTTGCTCCCCATTTGATGTGGCACGTAAATTTTATGTGGCATTTTTTTCTAAATTGCGGAAATCCCAGAAGGCCACGCTCTAGAATAAACCCTGGGAAGTACAAAGCACAACATCATTATTTAACTCATTTTGCTGCTGTGTTGCATAACGAGTTACACATTTGTCACCTGTTTTTAACACAGTACCTTAGATTTACACACAAGTAATTCCATTTTCTTTTAAAAATTGTAAAAGTTAATAAAAACAGTATACCAAAGACATACCTTATGTTCAAAGTGCTTTTGTTTAACGTCATTATGCAACTTTTCCAGGTCAGCAACTCTTCCTTTAATTTCATGAAAACTGGGCAGAAGAAAATTAAAATGAGAATTTATTGATCAAAACAAAATTTATTTACATAATATATGCAATAAATAAACAACAACACATCATTCATAAGTGCTGCTGAATACGAAAGTCTCATGTTGCCTCAAAACAAAAAAAAGGTAATTTTGTAAATGTTGCCATGCATTAAATAGCATACAACTAAAACAGAATTGTCATTTGCTGTTGCAGGTTCTCTCCCTTGCTCCGAGAGGTTTTCCCCGTGTAGTCCAAATTCCCTTCTCCTCAAAAAGCAACACTTTCAAATTATGATTCATTCTGGAACACAAGGACACGTTTAAATGAGTTCTTGGAACTCTTAAGTGCTTTGTCAGTAAACAAACTTACAGGTTTTATTATTATTATTATTATTATTATTGGTGGTAGTGGCAGTCGTAGTGGTAGTGGTAGTGGTAGTGGTAGTGATAGTGGTAGTGGCAGTGGTAGTGGTAGTGGTAGTAGTGGTAGTAGTAGTAGTAGTAGTAACATTTTTTCCATCATTATTGTAATGGACAAAATAATAACCTTGCTTGTAGCTGCTCATTTAACATGTTGGACTTTGAATCAGTTTGTTCAGGCTTTGTTTGTTGTAACCTACTAAGTATTTTTCTCTGTGCAGTTCGGTTGAAACTTCGCATTAATTCATCCTCATTTTTATGGTTGACTGAAAAAAAAAAAAAAAAAAAAAACATGCATCAACCATAAAGAAATAAAATTTATTTCTTTATGGTTGAATAGATGTGCACTGTAGCATCATTAAATTTTGAAACTAACAATACATTAATGTTGTACCTCAAAATAAAATTCAGGTTAAATTATTTGTTGTCTCCTTCTAGGCTCTAATTTATTATTAATACAATAATATAATAACAATATAATTATATTAATAATTTTTATAATTCTATTTAACTCCCTAGGGAAATGTAATATTATTATTACATTTTCAAGGGGAGTTTTAAAAACCTTTATCAGCAATCAAAAAAGGAAACTGGCAAAAAAAATTCTTGATCTTTTTACCTTTCTTCAGAGCCCTTTGAATAACCTCTAAAGGAATATGCTTTGGATCATTTGCTAAAAAAAGAGAATTATCAACAATTATAAAACAGTTGTCAGCTACGAGGTACTAACAATTCAGGTTTCAGGTCCTTAAGTCAATAATTTTTGATAACATCTAATTATAGAGTCCTGAGACAATCATTATTCACAGATTACTGACCTCTAATCTTAGCTAAAGCTGTGCAATCCACCTCTAACTCAAATGGAGTCTTCAATACCCTGATCTGTTGCTGCAGGAAATCACGATCACTCTGCTGGTCATCAGCATCATGCAGAAACGTGGAATCTCCATTGTCTGACAAGTTAACGTTCCCATCTAATTCACAGGCTGATAAGTCCTCACTGTGATCCACTAATGGCTGATTAATACGTTCATCAGTAGTTTCCATTGAGGAAGTAGATTCATCTTGTTTAGTTTCTAACTCTTTCCTCTTTGACTTATTTTTTCTTCCGATTACAGCACTTTTGCTAGTTTTATGACCAATTTTATTTTCAGAAGGAGGTGCTTTTCTTTTCCTTGATCTGCTTGTCACATTGTCATCACCCTCTGTTTTCTGAGAATCTCTAGATCTTTTCTTTGGTGTTTTATTTTTCTTTGGCAATTCAGCAGTCTGTTCACTAGTACTTGCATCTTCCTGGATAAAAATAAATAAATAAATAAATTATTATTTCAATGAAAACTGTATTAAAGGGACACTATTTTAAGTGGACACCTGAAATGGCAACAATCCATAACAATTTCCATTTTTGTTTGTTTGTTTGTTTGTTTTTTTTTTTAACAGCAGATCTGTATTAAGCCGCAACTTCTTTTAAGCAGACACTAACAAGGCCTTGAAGTTATCTGTTCATAATGTATATTACACTATTATCCCATGTATAACTGGGTGAAAATAAAACAATTGTTATACCATTCTAAAGCACTTCACTGTGAGATTCATAATATTTTTATTCCAGGTTCACATGCATTTCCTTTCCTTAGCATAAAAAGCTCAACAGAGCTTGCCTGATCTCCTGCCATGCAATATTTATATAGTAGTAGGCTATGTGTATGAATGTATGGTAAATAAAGGCAAAATGAAGTTTTGAAGTCAAATTTCTGACATACTAGTCTGACAAAACAGCCAACATTTCACTACACAACTGGTTATGCCAAATTCCGTGAAATTTTTATATTATTTGTTCTTTGAATTTATGCTAAATGATTTTTTTCCTGGACATAAATATAGAAGAAGAAGAGGGGAAAAAAATTCATGTCAATAAATTACCATCTTTGAACTAAGAGAAGAAGAAGGAAAAAAATCAAGACAATGAATTACCGTCTTTGAACTAAAAGAAAATCTGTGAGGGAATAGTACATGTGTGCAGGCCAAACCAAGTGGCAGTTGCGGAGTCTGAACAGTCAACCAAACAAATGAAAAGAAATTGCAGCATTCACAAATAAAAACTTTATTGAGTCAATTGAAGCTCCCGTAATTCGAAAATTCCAGCAACAATGTTACGACACTGTACTGCCGCCAAAAACTTCGTTGGAGATATTTCCATGTAAAGCCAAAATCATTTTTCGTAGGATTGCAGAACATTTTCCACTATTCCAGTCGACAGACGATTTTTCTCCACAAATTGGAACCCCTGTGATCAAGAAAAGAGCCATTGGAGATGTCTGAGTATTCCAAATCAGTCTGACCTTGCTAGCTTGAGTTGGCTTGAGAAATAATCTGTACCACAAAATTGATCCATTTGAAACAATTTTGCGTCTGTGATAATTAGTCCCTTGAATTCCCGCTACTCGTAGAAAATTAATTTCTTCTTTTGACTGTTGTCAGCTGTGTTGTGTGCTTTGGCCTTTGGTGTTCTGCAGTAATTGTTGTGGATGATAATTAACCCATGCACGTGGATAACTAAAACCTCACTCAGAGTAAAAATAACAGACTGAAGTACTATCCATTTTAGAAAAAAAAGATGCCTAATTACAAGAAAAAGATTAAGAACAAGTACTCTTTTCAGATCGACAACAGAATCCAAGATGGCGGAAACTCAATGAAAAGGTCAAGACGGGCCATTTCTATGGTTCCACTTGTACAATTCCCTTGAGGTTTTTGAGACATATTGGAACGATAGCTAAATTCCTTATATGGAGTCTCAGAAGGTATTTTTTCAATATTCTACTATGATTTACATAGCTTTTTTAAATGTCTAGCCCATCACAGAGTTAGATGCTGCTACTGTTGTTACGCATAGTGTTACTAATTACATTGTAGTATTGAAAATTATCAATTTATACAGTTGATATATCAAGTACCATAGTTGTTTATTTTTTAACCCAGCTACATGTATAGTCTCCTTCAAAATTGTTGGGACACTTCACTGTTTTCTTTCCCCCTCCCAATGTTGGTGTGCAAGATTTGGTGAATTAACTACGATAAACCACATCGGGAGGATCAGGAGACGGGCCACAATTAAAAAAAAAAAACCGTGGGGTGGAATTTAGTCTCCCTCCCAGCCGTTTTTTGGATGTCACGCAACGCTCCCAAAGAACGTTGCGTGACATCTAAGGGAGGGACACTAGGTGGGGGAAGTGTCCCAACTATTTTTTTCTGAGACTGTAGCTCTTCCACTATGGAATGAAATTTGTTTAGGCTGCCTAAAAATAATTCCTGGGGTTTACCTCCGTGTAAAAACAGTCTCAGGCAAAAATGTAGTTGGGACACGTCCATAGCATGCGAGCAGCGATGAGATAGCTTACGGTTTCCCGAGCGACACTGTGTGTCCTGCTACTGGCGGCGAGAGGACTTGTGCTTTTCCTAACTTTCCGTTGAGTTCCTTTGAAGTATTTCATTGCATAAAAGCTTCAGTTTCCGGGGAAAGTAGAGCTCTATTAGCTAAACAATAAACATCTGAAAGAACGATCGTCTGTTGTTGCCGCCAGAAAAATCACACACACATGAGCCCGCAATATGCGAAATCCTGTCCAAAATTTCCATGTCCATCTCCATGTAACGGTCAGAAACTGTCCTACTAAAACCGAACGCCTGACGCACGAAAAGCACCTTTCGCTTTAATTTCACGAGGAAGAGGGTCGTGAAAAAAATTTTTATGGTCCGATCACCGACAGATTCCGATTTTCATACTTTTGATCGGTCCAGGAATATCTTTGTTACAGGCGGCCGTGTCGGCGAGTTAAGTGATCTCGAGAAAAGAGCGTCACGCGACATCTGTATGCAAGTTTGCTGATGCAAGCGTACGGCGGTTTTTACAATGTATCAACGACGAAGCGGTAAGTTATGCTGGCATAGACATAAAAAGGTTACCTTAGGCCGGTATTAGTTGTATATTTGAAGGGTTTCCTTACGACGTTTGTGTTGATCGCCAAAAAAAAGATAGATTCTGTAACATGACCATACAATTAAAATAAAGAGAAGCTGGTCAGTCTTTATTGTGCCTTTATAATGCCACAGCTTGTTTTCATTGAGAAGTTGTTTTTAAATTTTCAAGTGATGAAATAACTGGCTTTAACAGTAGATGAATTTTTTTTAGCCATTTCCTTTTATATTTCTTAGTACAAGTTTTCTGTAAATAATCAGAAGGAGTACTAGGCTTTATTACACATGTAAGCTTAAGTTTAAACTCGCTTCTGCAGCTGGTTTCAAACCCTAGCTTAACTTGCAGCTTAATAGATTTTAATTTAACCGAGATAAAAATCAACATTTGATAATAAAAATTAGGGAAAGGAGTTTTACACAATGTTTTGATGTCGCCATGACATCATTATCAAGATAAGAAACCAAAATCTGACTTAATATATTATACAGTTTGAAGTGACAAGGTAAACTAAAGAACAAAAGTAGCATGTTTGCTTCTGTAAATGACAATGAAGATATGTTAAACAAACAGTTTTGACCAGATGGAATCTGATTGTCTATTTAATTTTGGTTTCTTCTCCTTAGTAAATCAGACAGCCTAATTTTCCATTGCACGTACCTCTTGTGTGCGTAGAAGTTGGTGATAAGGTTGACTATAGTTTCTTGGTCGTGAGCATTCTTTTAGTGCTGTCTGATTGCCGATTGAGGGTGTTCATCAAAAATGTGTTGATGAACACCATCACCACAATAATCGTTAATCAACATCTGTACCAAAAATGCAATGTTTTACCCTGCCTTGTGTGAAGTTCCACTGTCTCCCTTCAGACAGCATTATGAACTACCTTTTACTTAAAATCTTGCAACTTAATACTTACTGTGTTTAAAATTATTCTAGTCAAAGACATTCTCTTTGCAGCCATTAATAGGGTTGTCACATAGTGCTCCTCCCCAATCCTGAGCATTGCATGACAACCCCATGATGTCATCAAAGGAGACCATAAACAACACAATTTGACAGATTGTTTTTTCTTTGCTTTTATTTTCAGGTAGTTACATATGTAAGAAGCTTGGCAATGGAACCAGCAATTACCAAACTTGGAAACTGTTCTAACAGCAAAACAACTTTGTCGTGATGCCATATTGTGATGAATATCTAAGAATCATAGAAAAGCTCCAGGGAAAATATTACCAAATTGGAGAAATTTTTTTTTTCAAGGGCATTTACCTCCCTATAGTATGACTACTGCTACAGCATTATTACAGGAATTGGAATGGCTTAGACAGCATGGCCAGTCACAAAGCAATGTGGTGGGTATATCTGGACTAGTGAAATTCCTATACACTATACCTGTAGTAACAACAGTGAAAATAGTTACTATTTTCATTTCATATTTTCTCAAACCCTTTCTTATTCAAGACTTGTTAATACTTCCGTGCACCCTTTCCCCACATGCGCTGTTGGTTATGGTCAGAGAATTTAAATTTTGCTTCAGCTCATATGACTACCCAGGCATGCATCTCCTTCGTTTCACTTAATGTACATGTACATTAAGTCGCAAGAGTGACCAGTCGATGGGGAGCCACGGGGGAATTGGTGGTAGAATTCAAATTCCAGAGACATAGTTGCAAGCTCTGCTTCCTTTTTCTGCCCTGCCACCAGAGTGCCCCAGATAGCTTGCTCGCAGGTTGCACCCATTCTCCGTAGAGTTTGTGAAGTATGGAATACAAGACACGGACTAAAAAAGCTTCAAGTGACACTCAGTCTTTGTATCTTTTTTGATTCCTTTTTCTAGTTAGTTGAAGTGAGTGCAAACCACAACATTCTCTGCAGTGAAAAACTGTTTGTTCCCCATATTGACAAGAACAAGCCTATAACATGGACATTCAGAATAAAATCAAGTGTAAGTCAGTGTTACTGAATTAAAGACAGATACAGCTGTATACTTTCTGTAAGCCACTGATCAAATCTTGGCAAAAACTCGTTTTTGGCTTGCTTCCGGGCGATTCCGAGCGAGTTTTAGATCTGCTGTTGTTCTTTCTTGAGGACTCTATGGAGAAACTCTGGGGAAGACTCACAGGAAAAACTCGCCAGGGAAAACTCGCCGGAATAACCCTGAAATGACCAAAATTGTTAATAAGAAGGAAGAAGATCAGGAAGAAAAGGATTAGAAGAATCAAGTTGTTGCAAGTTGTGTGAATACTGACATCTGACTGGATAAAATTGAATGGGAATCACACCAAACACGGGTGTTACATCACTTGCTGCACAAAATAAGTTTGCCGTGGGCCGCTGAAACGCACAACATGAACAGATTTTCTTGCAAAAAGCAGAACCACTCTCTACTTCCTTCAACAACCTGATTTGTCACAAGACATGTTTTATTCATGGGTTGTAAAATGTGCAGCATCGCTATTCTTAGCCTGTTCCAGGCATTCAGATAGAAAAGTGCAGGCGAAATTGATGTGGGACGGGCAGGGGGGACGAGGGGAGGCAAGAGAGCGAAAGGGGAGGAGGAGGAGGAGGTTCCCTTGCTATCATGCCAGTCTCCCCTTGTTTTTCCCCCATTTTCCACGCATACAATTTAACTCGCTCCCCACCATCTGAATGCCGCCTCTATGTTTTGAAAGTGTGGAACAGGCTACACTATTCACGTCAAGTTTTATGTTTTTGTTGCCCATTTTACCGTGCGTTTATAACCTTGGATATCATTATACTGAGGATGTCCTCTTTCAGTGCTCTTTTGCTATTGCTATATTGCATGTTCTTTCAACCACAGGAAAAAATAACAGATTCCCACTTTTGGATATTTTAGGGTATTTAAAGAATACCCACAAAAATCCCAAATTTGGAAGAGTGAGACAAGTCCCAATCAGGGAACTTGGTTGGGAATTCTCTGGTTGGGACTTGTCTCACTTTGCCAAAATTGGGATTTTTATGGGTATTCTTTAAATACCCTAAAATATCCAAAAGTGGGAATCTGTTATTTTTTCCTGTGAACAAAACAAAACGATGGACCATTTTACAGTTATCCTAGCCTTTGAGTGAATGTGAGGCTGAGGTTGACCTTGTTTTGATACAAACCTTCTTCTTTTTCTTATGGAAATTATGCTTAAAAAATACTAAGCTATACTAGTTAGCGTGAGATCTAATGACATGATTTACGTGATAAAGCAGGAAGGGTTGTATCAAAACAAGGTCAACTCCAGCCTCATTTCCACCTGTAGTCCTTTGTACAAATAATTGCCTTTATCCGCATGTTTTTAGAGCCGCGTTAGCAGATGGTGCAAGTTGCGTCGTGTATTTACTTTGGATCCATATCTTCCGGAGTACAGCATAGCCCAGGTTAAAGTTAGTGATACCCTGTGGACAAAACTACCCCAAGGAAGTCAGGAATGGGAATCAAACACAGGTATTCGGATGGATACCTGCCAGATAACCCTCCGATTTGAATCTGCAGACTATGGTAGCTTTCAGCAGCGACTTGTATTTGATTTTGCTGAGCGGCCTCTTGTGTTCAGGCAGCTTGAGGTGGTTGTTGCTCCGGAACAGAGCTTGATGCATACCATTCAATACCCGGTGGTGTGTGATGAAGACAGTGAGCTCTCTTGGCTGGCCAAATACAATATGATTCCCTTTGACCCTCAGAATTCACAAGGTAAATGTTGTTAAGATTATGACTGTGATGTAATAATTTAAAGGTCTGTGATGTATTACATGTACAGGATATGTTAAGTTTACTATTTCTTTAATTTTACCACTTGTAATTTACAAGCGTTGCAGTCACGCCTCTGACAATTTGCATGTCTTTGGTCGTGTCCTTATGCGAGAAGTTTTGGCTTGCATGTTTCGCTTGCCATTTTCTTGTACATGTTGTGCATTATAGCAGATAATGCATGAAATACTCGTGGAATGATACCCGTGGCCAGTACTTTCTGTTTGTTATCTGGGACTGTGCCCTGAAAGGAAACCTTTCAGATCAGAAAATGTGCGTCCTCGTTTCACAGCTTGCTTATTTGTAGTAGTATAATCTCATGATATACACGTGTACAAGCGCATTGCATTTTTTTGTTCCAGAACAAAGGAGGTCTGAATTTCGTCTTCCTCCCAACCTGGGGACAGCATTAGAGTATGGCCATTTTGATCATCTTGATGATAACCTTACCCCTGAACAGTACAGGCAGCGTCTTCATTTGCTTCTTCATATTGAAGAGTTTGAGCGTCGCCGTCAAATGACAAGGTTCTCTCGGTGTTTTCTGTTCTTCAGTAATAATTTTTTAGCCTCAATTGTAACTGAACGAATAGGATATCTGTATGAGTAAATTATTTGACGCACTGTTTACGAATTTCTCCTGGTAGCATAAAAGTAGACCTTCGGTCAAGTCAAAGTTTTTGCACATTGAAGACCGTTCCATGTGATGCAGCTAGCATTGGTAAAGGCTCTCTCATCAAGAGTTTTAAAGGAACGCCCAGCGAGTAGGCAAGCACTAGGAACGTGACCATCACTGTTGTGACAATTGGTGCTCTACTAACATTGTTAAATTATGTAACGTGAACACTACTGCATAGTCCTATAAGGCATAGATTGCATTGCTGATTATACCACAATTTATTTCACTTGCACTGGATGATTAATGTGCGACTGATGCAAAAAGGAGAAAGATTTACCCTTTATACGGGCGGACACAAAACACCTACTGATTTTCGCCATTTTTTGCCGGTATAGTATTAATTTCTCCTGTGTCGATCAATTAAGGGAAAGCAGATTTACAGTGTGTAATGTAATAGAGAAACATGTGTTACAGTCTCGATAATTTGAATATTCCTTGTAATCCCCGTTGCTATGTTTCGGTTTATTTCCTTCAGGCTTACAATTCACTGCTCTAATTTGCTGTACTGCCTCCAGGCATGTGCCACCGATCCTTCCCAACTTACTATTGTCCTGCCAATCGAGGAAGACCTCATGGATGATGCCAACTTGTTAATCAATCGTGGAGGTTATGCCCTCTTGCGAATCCAGCCGCATGACTCCCCGATTCCAGTATTGTATGAAGTTGTGGTAGAGAGCTTGAGAAAGAATCGCGTTTTGCTACGTGCCAGCAGCGACCTCCAACAAGTGTTGAAATCAAGAAGACCTCTTCCCGCGTCACTGTGCTTTCGTTTTGTTGATACATACCAGCATATGCATTGGGCTGCGGAACGTGTGCGTCTTGAAGTGGTATTCCCTACAGTACCGCAAGGAAACACAAAACAGAGGCCCTTTGCCTCTAATAGCCGTCACCTGAACGAATTGCAAAACTATGCCTTAAAGCACATGTTACTGCCCAATGCTGGGCCACCGCTTCTGATTCTTGGGCCGTTTGGGACAGGGAAAACCAGAACTATCGCTGAAGCAATGAAACAGTTAATCACCATCCAGCTGAACAATCACTCTGTAGACTTCAGAATCCTTCTATGCACGCATTCAAACAGCGCTGCCGATCACTACATCAAAAGCTACCTCCATCCTTTCTTAACTCGATCACAGATCCCGCATTCACGGTTCAAGCCGCTACGCATTTGCTGGGAGAACCGTTTTGTAACCACGGTCTCCGATGAGGTGTTACAGTACTGCCTTCTGGACATGCACACCGGTAAGTTTGCCATTCCCACCGTGGAGACGTTAAGGAGACATCGACTCGTGGTAACCACTCTGGTGACGGCTGCATCGATCGCTCAGCTTGATCTTCCAGCTGGATTTTTCACGCACATCTTCATTGATGAAGCTGCGCAGGCCATGGAAGCTGAAACCATCATCCCTCTCTACTTGGCTGGACGTAACACTCAAATAGTCCTGGCTGGAGATCATCTGCAGGTATTTGCTTTCAACTTAAACCCGCAGAATCTGTTAAATGTAGTGAATACAGTGATGAAATGAAAATGAAGAAATGATCGTCTCAGTGAACGCAATTTATGCAGTTGCGTAAAGAAGCCTGAAATATTGATGACTTAATGGTAATCACTGCGCGTCATTGCTTAGTTTTGCTTAGTTTATTTTTTGGTGTTGTTGTTGTTGTTTTTCTTGACGCGACTCACAAGATTGTTGCTTTAAGAGTCTTACTTTATCAGTAGAATATATACATGTATAATTTTCGTAAGTTTGTGAAAATAATGGTGGTAATATGGCTTATTCCATCCAGAGTTTTCTCAGCTTGGCAAACTTGTTTTCTTTTGTGTTTTTTTAGCTCAGTCCTCCTGTGATGTCGACCGTTTCTCGCCAGCTTGGTCTTGGTCGTCCTCTTCTCGTGCGACTGCATGCAATGTACCCTGCCATATCAAAGTGGAAAGTTATGTTACTGCAGAACTACCGTGCTTATGACGACATAGTAGAAGTGCCTTCTCATCTGTTTTACCAAGACACGCTTGTTGCCAAGTTGAAGCGTCCGTCCAGTTTGCATTATTCTGTTGTGTTCTACGGAGTACACGGGCAGGAAGAGATAGCAGATGAACCGCCCTCGTTTTTGAACAGGGGAGAAGCTGCAGAAGTTACCGATCGCGTGGAAGAATTGATATCTAACTGGCCGTCGGAGGTCTGGGGAGAAGCTTCTCCATCACGAATATGTGTCTTAGCACCTTACCCTCCTCAGGTAAAGAAGCATGTAACTTTGACCCCATTTTCCCCAAGTGTGTTTTTGAACTGGAATCAAATAATACTAAAGAAACGAATTGCTATAGGTAGTTTATGTTGACAAATCACACTTAGAGATCTGCAAGTTAAGTCGGTCATCTGACAACGACTTGCCCAACTAAAATTTGATAAGGACTGAAGAAATCCGTCCTACACGTGCAGTCGGACAAAATGATCAGATACATCATATACTAAAGACTATTCTAAAGTAAGTAAAGATTTGCATAGTTATGGCAAAAAATAAAATTCAACCCAATCTATGTCTGGAAACTTTTTTGAACTGCCGATAAAAACGGTGACGCGTGATCAAACATAATCTCGCTGTTCATTTTTTTTTTTGTCAGGTGCGAGAAATCAGGAGACTTCTTCGAACAAAGTCTTTAGGAGAGGTCCAAGTGGAGGGTGTAAACAATGTCCAGGGTGAGAACAATTAATGAAGAGAACAATGTACAGTAACTCGGGGCCTCAATAAAAATCACTCTTTGTGAAGTGAGTTCCTTGTATAAAGATTGTTAATAGTATAACAACACTGGGTTTCTGACTTCCCGAAACCACAGGGGTCGGGTTTGTTTAGACAGGGTCAACAGCCATCACTTTCTTTTTTTGTTAATTAAGTGTCTATGCTTTTGTTTTAGGTCTAGAGTTTGATATACTATTCATCAGCACAGTGCGAACCAACAAACTCAACAAAGGTTATGCTGCAAATCAAAAGAATCTGGCATTTCTGTCTGACAGCAAATTGTTAAACACAGCCATCACCAGAGCTCGGTATCGACTCGTAGTCATCGGTGATCCTGTTGCTCTGTGTTCCATGGGAGAGTGCCGGGTGTGTTGGAAATCAATTTTAAGCAAGTGCAATAGTAATGGGACATTTCACTATCGTCTTCCATTTGACACCCTTGCTAGAATGACCAAGGAAGCCAAAAGTAACGCATGTCAGAATGGAATATTCGATGCATCCATTCCTTGTAATAATATTGTGAATTCACTATCAACCTCACAAGCACCTATTCCACCCCAGCAGTTCCCCGGCCATTTCGCTGGCTTTCCTTTCATGGAAATGCCGCACAATAACGCGCATCTTTCAAGCGGGCCTCCAGTATTTATTGCCAGTCCTGGTCCTGTAGTTATTCCAAGGCACTCCCTGCCACTGCCAGTGCATTCTTTCCCTGCTATTCGAAACCCGTTTCAGCAACCTGCCTTGATTAATGGACTTACACCTATTGGACCTCTTCCACAAGGAATAGGCCTGTCATGTCCGGTTACTCCATGGTCCTCCCACCAACAGATCGCGCAAAATACCACACCTGTGAGGTCGCCATTATTCACAGACCAACAGTTGGTTCAAAATCCCTCTCTTGGTAGTGTGTTAGGCGCTGAACAGCGGATACGTCAAAATACTAGCCGCGTCGAGACAACATGTAAAGACCCACAACGACTACAACCACAGCCACAACCACCAGCTACATTTCTCATGCGTCAGCAACCTCCAAACGTCTCCTCTGTAGGGACATTAGCCAGTCAGCAACAGCAAGTACCAAAGACTCCTTCCACATCGAAAAAGGAGTCCACAATGGTCACACCAGTTTCAGGTACTGCAACTGTTGTTCCATCACATTTGAGCTATGCAAGCCTTAGGGCGTCAGAAAGAAGGAGGCAAAACGAACCAGAGAGTCACAACATGTCGACCCAACATCTCATTGTCGTGAATGAATCACAAGGGGAACTCCTTTTATCACTCGAATCTAGCTTGCAAAGTAGTCAAGAGATGGTGACAAGAGTAAAGGATCTTATTGCCAGACTTCAAATATCGTTTAGTTCCCCTGCTAACCAGAGTCTTCAAAAAAATCTCGAAGACCAGATGAACATCCTAGAGAAAGAAGTTAATTTAATCCAGCGGCATGTCGAGCTGCATAGCGCTTTATCAAGTCAACTTAGGATTGAAGACTGGGGAAATGATGATAGCAGTGAAATGCAGTCGTCATGTACAGACCCCTCCAGTCTGAATGAAATGGAGGAAGATAACGGTGACTCTGACGCTGAGGAGTGGTTCAGCGCCCAACATAGAGATCCCATAGTGCAAGATTATATTAAGGCGTTCGAGATGTTGACTTCTAGGACTGACTCTACTACTGAAGAAGGTTTTTTTCTTCCCGACGAAGCAGAGACCGGCAGACATCTAGGCACTTCTTCACTTGTTTTAGAGAGCTCCTTGGCCACTCCCATTGATAGTGAGGAGGTTTCTCCTTTACGGGGATGGGTTTTGCAACCCAGCGAGGCCACAGTTTATATTGAGAGTTACTCCATCAACGAAGAATACCTAGGAGAAGAAGAAGCCCGATCAAAACTTCAAACTGGTGAACTTGTGGCTTGCCAATTACAAATTGACGCCTTCAGCGACGGTAATACTGCAACAGCAAAAGTTTGCGATCCAAACAGTCACGACATCCACATCGGTAGTAGAGCTGACATAAACAGGGCATTTAATGGAGATAAAGTCGCCGTGGAAGTTTTTGACACCAACAAACAAGGCTCAAGCATACCCCAGGGAAAGGTAAAGGCAATACTGAAGGAAAACCACCCCAGAAAAGTTGTTTGCAAGATCGACAATTTTGATAGGAACATGATGACGCCTATCGACAGAAGCAACTCAAAGTTTGTTATCCTGCAGAGTAAAGACCACCAAGGCCAAACTGGCGTTGCCGTGTTTGTTATGAAGGATGGCAGAATACAGTTCAAGAGTTTTGTGACAGAGACTCAAGGGAAATTGTTTCTTGTGCAACTGATGAAATGGGGAGCAAGCTACAGGTACCCACTTGGCTTTGTTGTGCACTATTTTCAAGAAGGCGGGGATCCCCTTAAAGCCATTTCAATCTTACTGGCTGAGCACGGAGTTCACAAGCAACACCCAAAGAAAATCCATAATGAGGCCAAAAAGGATTTTCCCCCAAAATGGAAGATTCCCATGTCAGAGCGCGTCAAGCGGATAAAGTTTCCTGAGGTGTTCAGCGTTGATTCTGCTTCTTGTGTCGAAGTCGATGATGCTTTGAGCGTTTGTTGGGAACATGATGGAACTTACAAGGTGGGTGTCCACATCGCAGATGTCTCCTTCTTTGTCGCCAAGAATTCTCTGTTGGACAAGGCTGCTATGTTCCATGGAGCCTCATTGTACGGTGGCACAGAAAGAGGTTTCCATAGCCCCATGCTGCCATCCCGTGTTGGTACAGAGCTTTGTAGTTTACTACCAGGCGAAGAAAAGCTGGCTCTTTCAGTAGTGTTCCATTTAAATGAAGATGGGCTAGAAGTTGGGTTACCTGACATTCAGCGAAGCATTGTCACATCGTGCTGTAAGTTAACCTATGATCAGTGTCAAGATGTTTTTGATGGGAAAAGGCTTGATGGTGTCGCCGAGAGCGTTCAAAAAGGTGTTGGTATCCTTGGACAACTTTCATTCAAAATGTGGACAAGAAGAGTTCGTCAAGGGTTTGTCGCCTTCGATGCTGCTGTTGGAAAACCTAATGCTTGGTCCTCTTCAAAAATGGTGGAAGAGTTTATGTATCATGCTAACCGTGCAGTAGCCGAGCGCCTTTTCCAAAGCCCCCTTGCTAAGACGATCGTGCCGCTGCGTCGACAACTTCCTCCTAAAACACATTTTCTGCGTGATACATATCAATCGTGCATTGAGAAAGGTATGCAACCAGACCACTTTTTAACCTTGGAATGCCTAACAAGATGTTCCAATGGTGAATCAGTCTGCGGATCTGACGACTCTATTAGTATCGATTTAAAGACATGGGAAAAGATATCTGCCGCTCTGGATGACAAAGACCTAGCCAAGGTAACTCTTTCCATTCTACAGCATGATAACGCCTCCGGCGTTGGTAAAATACTGGCGCAGCTGAAATCTCATCAGGAACATAGCGAGTATGTCGCGTCTTCCAGTCTTTCAGCCGAAATGCAAAGCCATTTTGGCCTTAATGCAGCATCGTATACCCACTTCACGTCTCCTATTCGCCGTTACATAGATCTCGTTGTTCACCGCATCTTGTTAGCGGTTTTGGATGGTGTAGAAATGCCCTATAACGAAGAGCAAGTGCAGAGCATTTGCGAGCATTGTACGATGATGTCTGCTCGGATTGATGCTTTTGAAAAACAGTTAGCTGCGGTATCTAGGGCGGATGCACTACGAAAGGATTCGAAATGGAGAGTGGCTAAGGTGGAGTCACTTTCTCCTGAAAACCTGCTTCTTGGAGGGGATGAGGTTGATCACATCGGTTTCTTCTATCGAAGCGTCAACATCCACGATTGTAAACCATCTTCCAGGGAGTGGCTTGAGGAAGAGGAAGAATTGGTTTTGAGCTGGAATGTTTTGGAGATCAATGTGACAGGCCAAGAAATAGGAGGATATTCGGGCCAAGGAGATGATCTCTCTGGCGAACCCTCGTCTTCTTTAGAACTGGAACCTTCTTCGGGTGTTACTAGACAGTTTTTGGAAATCCCCCAAGAGTTTTGGACGAAATTTTTACAAGGCCTTCGTGATGAAGACCTTCTGGAAATGAACAGACAAAGGCAAATGATTGATTCAAATGCTGTGGTCAGTTTCGACAAGACAACTCCAAGCACGTATGGTAATTTTGCTCCTGAAGAATCGATTGCTATGAGTTCCATTGCACCTCTTCAAGTTATTAACGCACATACCAAGTTTTACCGCAAGCGAGACACAATTCCCGTTTCTTTGGGCGCTGAAATGAACAGAGGATTACTTAGGCCCAGTATACTGGCTGTAAAATTCTCTGATGCAATCGTGTGCTGTATGCGACATAGGCGTCATCCTTCTAAATCGTTTGGTGTTTCCGCGTTGACGGCTACCAAGGCAACCTACGCAGGCGTATGGGACTATCAGTCGGTGATGCTTCCGCTACTGGAATGCGAAGCTTCTACGGCTAGTGTCAACTCAGATGCCGCCATTCAAATCATCCTGCATAATGTCTCTGTCCAGTGGAATGCCAGTAAGTTTTAACGCGTTAGCCTCAGAAAACAGCCGACATTTTACGAGGCCATCACTGATTTTGCCACAAAATGGCGTCTGAGGAACGGGTGCAGAAAAATCCTTGCTGATGACATGTCCCTGCCTAGATCTGGGTAGTACTTCTGACTGGTTGAAGCAAATTTCCCACGCGGCAGGACCAATCAGAAGCACTACCCAAATCTAGGTCGTGATACTTCATCAGTCTGGAATTTCTGGGTTTGTTACTCAGACGTCATTCGTGGGAGACTTGTAGTGGCGCCGTCAACTGTCGGCTATTTTCTCATGCTGTTCACAAGTAAAACATTTTGACTGTAAAACTGTAAACGCGTGCAGACTTCAAGTCTCTGTCTGCATTTCCAAATAGATTTGACCAATACAGGACCCTTTTCTGACAAACAATTGAAATGTGTTAAATATCAGTGTTACCTCAATTAATTCTTGGAAAAAACAAAAATAAAAAATAGTATCTGGTATCTATGGTAATGAATGGAGAAACACTGTATGTTAGTAAACTATCTTTCTTTGAAATAATAAATTAGTGCAGTGTTTATAATCCTTTTCGATGGTTACAGTTGTGTCCAAATTGAAGGACGAATATCATAGTGTCAGCCTCTTCCAAAGTACAGTAAGCCGCTGAAGCTAAACATTACCCAGAAAACAATAAATAGCCCTTCATACGCGTCATTCCGTCAGTGAAAATTCCACGTGCTTTTCAATCACAGATGCAGGAGAGTTCACCTTACCAACGGCTTTGTGTGTCTGCCATGGTTTGCAGCTTTGCTGCGGTGACTTTCTTTGTCTCCGAAGCGCCGTGTCTCCTGGAATCTTCCACTGTCGTGTCACTGAAGTTGACAGAAACCAAGACAGAGAATTGATTCGTGTCAGCCTGGTGGACGTTCCAGAGGGTTTCTCGGTTGATCAATTGAATAATGGTGCCAGCCTATTTAGCCTTGAAGTCATTGCTCAGGGCCAAGCCTTCCGCCGTATGATAAGTAAGAACAGTTACTTTGAATAATGTATTAGCTCTAGTTTTAGTGAATTTTAAGCGTTAGACCCTCCTGTTAGCTTTCGGTTTGGCGTTTATAACGGGTTGTGGCACGAAATAAGAGCGACGGGCATCTTACTTTTTTGTTTGTTTTGTTGTTGTATGTATGTTTCTCTTTTCTCTCTCTCGCTCTCCTCTTTATTAGTCTGCACTTTTACCTTCTCCTTTTTGTACCTTAAATTCAGTTCCTCTGGCCAGTCATTACTAAAGAAGAAAATCTAATGAACCAATAGAAATTCTTAGATAAATCGTTTTGCCTGGGCATAGCTCCTGTCCAAGCGCCCGAGATTTACTTTTCTTTTACTCCAACCGATCGCAAAGCAAACAAGAGCAAAGCAACTACCACATTCTTTGAGCAGATATTTCAAAGCAGCCTTACTTTAAGTTAACTAAAGTTAATCTACTCATTATTCTTTGCTTAAAGCTGCTGTGAAGAGTCTTGGCGATGCACCAGAGCTCATTAGAGGTGTTTTCTTACGAAGGGACTTGCCTTCGTACCTGGCACACAACCCAAGGTTTAAAGGACAAAGAAGGGAGGAGAGCAAGACGCACGTGACCCTTAACCCAGGACAGCAAGAAGCGGTAAAATTGGCCTTGACATCTCCACTGACGCTTATTCAAGGACCACCAGGTATGTGTAGTTGTACTGTTCTACAATTAAACATGTAGAGAGCGTTTCCCATGACGTCACGACGGCCATATTGGTGTTCCAAAACAATGAAACGGCTACCATGATGGTGTTCCAAACCAGTGCTGTGGGATTTTAACGTTTTCTTTGTTCCAATAAATTTGCATCGATGCTGGCCATGTTAGTGAACATTCTCTATGAATTAAAAAGCTGTGCTCTAAAGAAAACTGAACGGAGCCTAATGTTCTGAAATTATAAAGTCTAGAGTGCCCAGCATTACCCTGCGAGCAGAAGCCCCTCGATCTTCCTAGAAAGATCGAAGGGCCTCTGCTCGCAGGTTAGCGCAGCATATGATTTGTATCAAGAACCATTCTTCAATTGTGCCTCTTTTTTTACTCCTGTCGCCGTCGTCATTGCTAAAACAGTCTAGTTGTTGTTTGTTCTTCTTACTGCATTGACGAGTGCCGTGTTGCTTGTGTCTTTCAGGTACAGGAAAGACTCTGACGGGCGTTGAGTTAGCGCGCCAGTTTGTAGCCTTGAACAAAAGAGAAGGAACTGGAGGACAAGTTCTTTTCTGTGCTCCGTCCAACCACGCAGTGGATGTGGCTGCAAGTGGGTGTTTATTTTCACAAATTAGATTTGAGAACAAATGCTCGCCATAGCATATTGTGGGGTGGAGGACCTAAATTGTGTTAGCCTAAGATCGAAGGAATTCACTCCCACAATCTGACCAATATCCTCGTCCTTAACGTTTAAAGGTATGCGCAGCAGAAAGAAAAATGGAGGTGTTCTGTCCTTAACTAAGGCCTCTTTTTTGGGATTGTGGTCCTTTAATAGGATACCCATAAGCACAACTTTTCAGATGTGAAGGAAACAAAATAAAAGAAGCCAGTTCTAGGCCCATCTTGCGGTATAGGTTACCCCTTAAACAGGGTGTCACTTTTCGTTACTGGGGCGTAATATAAAGGATGTTCATTTTTAAGTAATTTCCCTTAACTAGGGTTAGGACTTTGGGCTATAGGTCTCCGATATCCATCAACCAGGGGAAGAGTATATATATATATATATTTTTTTTTTAAATGGTGACACCAGAGGACTTGTGTTCAAAGTTAGAACTAAATTACGTAAGTCTGTGTTAGACCCTGTAGTGGTGAAAGAGTATGGTGAAAGCGGGTAATCTCTTTTCTAATTGGCAGGAATGCTTCAAGCAGTACCAGATGTGAAGGTTCTAAGAGTGTACGGCAGAACCATCGAAGATCAGACGTTTAAACACTCACTGAGAACTACTCTGTGGACTTCGCAGAGCGTAATGGATACAGCTTGCCAAGACATCGCTCTGCATTTCCGCATCCGAGAGTCAAGCAATCCCTACTCTACAAGGATCGCAGCCGCCGAAGAGGCAATTTCGCGACTGAAAAAGAAACCTACTTCTCATTGGTTAGTGAGCAACCCGCACTAGCTCGTTCCATAATACATGCCCGCCCTTAGCAGTCCCCTGTTAATGACTGGTATGTCGAGGGATAATGACTTCGAGATACTGTAAATTGTGTGTCCCGTAAAATCGCGACTTGATTGACCAATCAGGTCGATAAACAGAGTTTAATAGCATCTACTGGTGAGACAACTCACTTTAACTCTGATGATGACTGCTGCACAGGTTGTCCAAATGTCAGTCACTGTCAACAACAGTCCTTTTCAGGACTACATTCACCCAGACGATCATATTATTCCTCAGCGAGCAAAGAAAGTCATGTCCAATAGCCGTGGCTAATGGATTTTGTTATTGAGTTGCCCAACGGGCAAGCGAAGTTTTTTTCCGGGGACATTCAAATCACGGAGGAACTGTTATCAGTCCTGCTAGTCCAAATGTTTTCGGACTAGTTAGAATGACTCTTGGGCTTGTATGTGCTAGCTACAGCTTTCCTGAGGTGCAAGCTGTAAAACTGACTTTCTTTTCTCCCTACAGCTAGTTAAGAAATGACTCCTGAGCTCAAACCGTCCACAGTTTTAAACAACTAATATCTTGTCTTGTTTGCAGCTCCACCTCTGGGATAGATCAAGAGAGAGAAAGAGACGAGCTGTGTCGTGTGATCGAGGAGCTTCGCGATGCAATGGATGAGGCTGAAAAATACGAAATCAGCCAAAATGGAACCGAAGTGATCTTATGCACGTGCATCGAGGCTGGTGCGAAACGTGTTAAACGTTTTGCACGTATTAGTCACGTGGTTATAGATGAAGCGAGCATGTGCTTAGAGGCAGAAACCTTAGTGGCCCTCGCTTCAGCTGGTCAGAGACTGCAGCAAGTGGTACTACTCGGTGATCACAAGCAACTGGGTGCTGTCATCACGTGCTCTGCTCCACGAAGGCTTGGTCTTGGCAAGTCTTTGTTTGAAGTGTTGTTTGACAAGCCTGTTGCTGGAAAGGCTTACTCGTGCTGTATGTTGCAGACGCAATATCGTATGGTATGTATAATATCGATCTTTAGAGAGCTTGGCACCCCCAGCCCCCCAAGCCCACCCCCCTTACATGCATTTCTTTGAAATCTGATTGGCTCATTTGAATGCGAAATCGTGTTGTGATTGGCCAGACTAAATAACGTGGTTTTAACTTTCGTATGCAGCATCCGAGTATCAGGGAATTCCCATCACAGCAGTTTTATGACGGCTTGCTGAATGATGCTCGTCAATTGACCAGTCCTGACCAACTGGCTGTCGGTGATCTGCCTGGATTTTGGGCCGGAGGGTCGACAGTTCGTGTCGTGTTTTGTCACGTGGCAGGAAGTGAAGAGAGCCCTCAGGACTACACGGGACCCGAGGGACGGGAAGAATCTAAGCACAACCCTCAAGAAGTTCAGGCTGTGGTACGTAGAACTATTTCATTAAAGGTTATCTCATGTCTGTTTGTGGCGTTGTAGCTATTTGTAATAGTAATTTAACTTTTAAAATTAAAATCAATAAAAAACTGACACTTAATGGTTACAGGACGTTGAAAGACAAGATTTTTTGACAGCAGTATCTTATTGGGACAGAATCGCCTTTGAGTGAGCCTGTTTTGTGAGTAAAGTGGCCTTCTTCCCTAAAAAAGGGGCGAGAAGGCGGCTCTACACGGGCTACCTATGAATTTTCTTCCTCCTTCGCCTCAGTGAATTAAATAAGCGCCCCAGGTAGTTCTACTTCAAACATTTACGGCAACGCCTTTCGTCCGCAATAAGACTTACGAGTATTTGCATTCTTTGCAGATCCGTGTTATTAGGTATCTCATTTCTCATGGACTGCAGTCCTCTCAAATTTCTGTGCTCACTCCTTACTCTGCTCAGAGAGCTAAAATATCCCGGGCCCTCCAGGCTCAGTTGAAAGCATGCGATTCAGAGGTGCTCTCTGTTTTTGCCAGTCAAGGTATGTATGGTAGTGTGTTTTGTGAAAGACAGCTGTGAACATTAGTAACACAGGACCAAGTCCAATCGTGGTTGTATAAGACTGAAACACAATCCTGTCCCCTATCTACAATATTGTTTGAATAACCTCCTTATAGGATTTTGATTATAGATGTAAAGGCAAAAAAAATTGTTTTACCTTTCTCTGCAAAATGACGCTGGGAATATAATACGTCTACTCTCGATGCAAAACAAAGGGGATTGTCGTATTGTGGTAAATTGTTAGCGCTCTTTCTTAGAAGACATCGCGCTCTGTTTACCAAATAGTAGGTGGTTTCTGTTTTCTCTGAACAAGTGGACGCTTCAGGTCTCAGAAAAAAATGCTTGTGGATGCGCCACAAAAACTGAGCAGCGAGAGGCTAAATGTTCTAATCCAACTTTTGAGCCAGCTATAACTACCTTTCTCATCCTTAAAACAAAAAAAAGTGAATGTCTCGTTTTAGTGAAGTCAGAATCAAGCTTTTTCAAGGCTTGTTGATCGACTATTGCACGATTGTTGCAGCTTTTGTTTAACAGATGTCGAGCTGTTGAATGTTGACACAGGCCATTTACCTAGCTGAGCGTTGATGAGCAAGAATAGCTAAAGAGGTTGTCTCTATTTCGTTCAGCAGGTTGCAAAAAGAGAGGCGCCACATGTCTTTATCAACAAATATTTTACTGTTTGCCATCTTTAACAACTAATGAATTTAAAATTGCTAGGTGCTGAGAGGGACTTCATAGTACTGTCTACTGTCCGCAGTATGCCAGTGGAGCAGATTGTTAGCAGCACAGACAACCAACAGTGGTTAACAAGCCATTTGGGTTTTCTTATTGATGAGCGGCAAATGAATGTCGCTCTGACACGTGCAAAGCATGGGCTGATCATTATTGGTGAGTCGCCACTAGCTCTTTAAAACCGATATCGAACTTTAAGTTCTCTTCTCCCATTCTTTACGTTTCTAACAGCGCTTACAAAAAGAGAATTTCGTTGACACGTTCAGAAACGTTACCCCTCTAATTAATTGTTAATTTGTTACAAGTGTTGTTAGTGCGCGATCATTGATCATTGTAATTTGTTACAAGTGGTATTAGGACGCGATCAAAGTGATAGCCGTCGGGCTAGAATGTTTAAATTAAAGTTATCCCACGGGCAAGCGACGTTTGTCGAGATAAAGTAATTGTTAGTGACTAGAAGTAACCGAAGGCTACGTACGGGTGAAAGGGATTGAAGGTTAAAACGCTTTTGCTCCAACGCTGTGCTTTTCAACTGATAGATAGTCAAAACACGTGCGATAAGATTACGAGTGATAGAAGGTACAAACGCCACTGATCAGATTGAGTTCTATGCATTCCATTCATTAGGGACCTTAAGCAACGAGAATGTTGACGTCCTCGACGTCAAAAATGGCAACTGGAAGTTGATATTTTCTCTCTTTCAGTGCTCTGACTCGACAAATTCGTACGGCGGGAGTTAAAACAAAGGCATTCAGATTCGTTGTGTGAGACAAAAGTGTTCCATCAAGCGGGACATCGAACTTCCGGTTGCTATTCATGATGTCGGGACGTCAGCGTTCTCGTTGCTTAAGCTTCGCTAATCTTAATGGAAGTCTGGCCATATATATGGAGATTAGGAGTGCGGGCTCCTCTTATCACCCGCAAAAAGGGTGGGCCGCGGAGGGCGTGGGGGTGAGAAGCGTGCACGATTGCTCCAGGATTGCTCCTGATCATTAGTGTGAAACTTCAAAAGTTCAATAAAATTGTCTTTTGTTGCTAGGTAACCGACGCCTATTGGCTGTGCACCGTATGTGGAGCAGCTTGATATCACACTGTGATCGTTTAGGTTGCCTGGTCGATGAAACATGGTTGGACAATATCACTTCAATGTAGGTTCAATTAAGTGCCAGCCATGTCACAAGGTTGAGGAGTGGAGTCCCAAGTGGCTGGCATGTCGACACTGGTGGTGTGTTTTATGTGATGTATTGATATATGACAGAGATCACGAGGCGTGCCGGGAAGGAAGTATCAGAATCTTTTTCCCGCAATTTTACCGAAGAATATTAGGATATGACAATGAATCGAGATTTTTTCATTTGTCCTAGTGAACGTGTTTTTTTGTTTGCTTTTTTGTTTTTTACACCAAACCAGTATAAGAGTATAAATGTTTTTTTGTATGTGTTTGTTTTTTCAATTTTTAAAGTTCTAATTTTATCTGTAAATAATGAACACCATACGCCATAAATTATTCGAAATTCCACTGTAATTTATTTAAGAACTTTTACTTGAACAAAACAGAGGTGCCAAGTTTGCCCTTGATGAAATAAAGGTTAAAACCTATCGTTGTCGTCCGCAATAAATTCTTTTACCTACTTTTTGTTATCGTAGTATGGCAACATTTTCTTGGTTCTCGTTGTTCAACAATTCGACCAGAATTACAAATGAGTTAGAACAATTTGTAAAATTTGAAACGTGTCGTAGCAATGTTGCAACGCTCTGCAGCGCTGAAAATATGTTTGTTGCGAATCGTCCCGTGTAACACTGTCTAAACTCCTTAAGCCCCAAGATCCACATACAAATTCTCCAGACCGATCTCCTTTCATTTCTTTTGAGAATAGTTGAGAGAATTTGGTTCAAGATGAAAGCATTCTCCCTTTGGTAATCAATTTAGTAATTCGTATAACGGTTACTCTTGATGATCCGCTGATGTTGTTAGGAGAAAATTAAAATTAATGTTGGTCACTCTAGGGACCTAAATGGTTAAGCCCCAAAAGTCTGCGCAAAATTAATGGCGAAGGGTAGGATTCAACTTAGGCTACATAACAGGCTGAGACAAGCGCAGCGGTGTCCGGTGTTCCTCGCTCGCTTCGCACTTGCCTTCGCTAGCTTCAAAGACGCGTCCAAAATAACGCCTTTTATGTAAGCTAAAATTGACTTTATAGGGATTACGACAGGGATAAGTGCTATATTGAAGATCACCACCCCCCCCCACCAGGGCGGCAAAATGTGAAAGTTAGATAAAAGTTATGCTAAAAGCGATCATTTTCGTAGGATCTTCTAATCTCTTCTATAAGGTAAACCGACAGTAAACAAAACACCGTTGCACCTTGTTAATTTTCCTTTCATGCAAACAAGCACCAAGAAAAAACTGCGCACAGCATAGGATGATGTTGGTTTTAGCGTAAGCGCGTGAATAATGACTGTTTTTTTTTACGATTTACAAAAGGGTTGGGGAAAATACGGTTGGAAAGCAAATGAAACACGACTTGGGTCGTTCCAGGAGCAAAGGAACATCTGAAAAGGGTAGTCCTGTTTTTCTGGACGGAATTTCCAAACTTAAAGTTCGTGTTCCATTTCTTCAAAGCTGTCTTTGCTACCAGTTTCAGGCCTTTACGGCCGTTTTCTGGTTAATGGAACTGATTTGTCAAACTGAGTCAAAGGCTTTAGAAAAGCCTTATACTCAGTCTGGCATGACGGACTCTTATATAAATTATTACAAATTGGTGTAGGGGGGTGTTTCTATAAGTTAATGAAAAACCTATATTCAAACTATTCGTGTGCATTGAAAATAGGTACGAGTCAAACACGATCTTTTATGCTATTCACGAGGCGTACGCCAGGGCTGTATTTTAAGCCCCTTACTTTTCAATTTATACGTTAATGACTTACCGTCCGCATTTCAAAATACTTTATCAGACCCTATCATCCTTCCAGATGGTACCAAATTAAATTCGCTTTTTTATGCTGATGATTTAATTGTTATATCACGATCTAAAATAGGATTACAGAACTGTCTCAACACACTGTCCTCTTTTTGCAACTCTTGGATGTTAGATATAAATTCCAAAACGACCCGCAATGTTATGATCTTTCAAAAACGAGCGAAGAAAAACTCCAATCTGGAATTCCATGTAGGTAAAGAAACCATCGATATTGTCCATGAACCCGTATCTCCTCACCCGGTAATTTTAATATCTCACTCGAACACTTGAAGGAGAAGGCTCTTCATGCTCTTTTTAGTTTAAGAAAACACACAAACTTTAGCAAATTAAAACCTCCTCTTGGTTGCAAAGTATTTGAAGCGATGATTTCCCCAATATTATCATATAATAGCGAAATTTGGCGTGTATATGTAAAACATGATTTTGAAGCTCGGGACAATACCCCCAATTGAAAAAACCCACTTGAAATTTCGCAAGCGTTACCTAGAAATAAGGAATAAAGCTTCAAGTGTTGGAAGTAGAAGTGAATTAGGACGGTCCATTAATTATTAATATTCATTGCATATTGTATCTTCTGCGCAATACTATTGTTAAACAAGCCTTTCGTACCTCGCTAGAACTTCACTGTAATGGTAAAAATAGCTTTTACCATAATCTTATGAAAATATTCGAATATTATGACGACTGCCCAATTTTGATCCTAATAATTTAAGTGAAGCTAAGATCAAACACTAGATAGATATAATAAATCAAAAATATATTTTAGGCAACATACAATCCATCATTCTAAGAAATTACAATTTTACAGCTTATTTAAACATGGTTATAAAATTTATCTAGACTTGATTATAAATTCTGCCAATAGGAAAGACTATAATGAAAATTCGTATAAGTAAGCACAAACTCATGATTGAAACTGGAAGATATAATTTGTAACTCTGGTATAATTGAAGACGAATTTCATTTTCTCTTCCATTGTCCAAAATATTCAATCCCAAGGGAGAAATTCGACAATCAAATCCAACAAAATTTTGTCGACTTTAATCAGCTATCTTACACAGAATTAATAATTAAATTGATGAATTCACAGAATTTGCCCGTAAATTCACATTTTTTGAAATTTGTCTCATTATGTAATGATTAACGTCCTAATTTGTTATCAAATCATGCTGATGACACTTGATTGACTGTACCCTAATCATTGCATTGCATTATATCATTGTTATAATGGAAACTTTATGTTAAAGCTTTTACAATACTGTAACTACATAATTATAGTCATGGAAATAGAGCTTATGTTGTTGTTGTTGATTTGTACAAAAAGTAAACGCGATTCCGGGACGAAATTGCCAGTCCTGAATTTGGTTAACCATTTGCCCAAACCGTGAACCAACCGGTTTGCCCAAGTAAATGGTAAACAACTACTGAAAACGAACTATAATAAGGTTTAGCTGTGTGATAAAACAACAACAACATCAACAAGACTAATTCGTTTAGAAGACGACTTTCGCCAGGGTTTTCTTGTTGTCAATAGGGACCTTATGATCGACAACGGGAAGGCCATTGAACGGTTCCCTGGTCTCCGGGTTTCCAGTCCAAACTATTTGGTGATTACTTCAACTCGTTCAGTAAAGAAGCTAGAGCTGGCATGCGAGAAATGACCTCTTCTATACTTAACTTCTCCGCAGAAGAACTAGAAATTTAGACATCAGACTTCGTTGTTGCGCAGGGACGACAAGAAAATTTACAAAAAGGCTTGATGAACGTTCAGTATATGAATCTTTCATATTCCCGTTGCCATCGCCCTCGTAGTAACGTAAGTTCCTTATTAATGACACTACCCCTCGCTCAAATAGACTGTAATTAGTCCCTCATGGCCTCTAACAGATGAGAAGTATTTACCAGCAGTTTCATTTACCAGCATTAGCGCCTGCAACGTCCAGGTTAGCATAGGGGCGTATTTTCTTGTCATTGGCTTCCTGTGTATACTTCAAAGGAGCGTACATACAATTAGCAGCGCTGTCGTTTCGGTTGCTTGGTGAAATGTTCAAGTAGTCTGGTTTGTTTGCTTGTGTCTGTTGTGTCGCAACGGAATAAAGGCTCATGTAAGGACCTCTGGACTCTATCCGTGCTCGCGCAACTTCATATGGGAACACGTCGTCGTGATCCTGCGATACATCGGAAGGGGAGGATTGCAAAAGACGTGGCGAGTCGTCCTCTCTGCTTGGGCCCGCTAGCTCGATGGCCGTTGTCTCCGAGGAAGAGCTGTGAGTTGTCAGTTTTCTAGTGTTTTTCGACCTGAAACACATGATTCTGCTTTTGAATGCAACTCCAAGGAAACAGCAGACCGCGAGAAGAATCGACAAAACTGTAATCACTATGAAGTGTGCCAACGTGGAATTTTTACGACGGAGTGAAAAAACTTCTTCATCTGCTGAGAAAGAAAAATGCACCGGATTTAAGTTAGTTAGTTGACGTTAGATTGAATCAAACAATGAATCAATGAATCAATGAATCAATCTATCTATCAATCAGCCAAATATCTTGTAGCACGTAACCAACTCAAAGCCATTTCAGTTAAAGATAGGTCTTCTTCGAATAAAAATAGCAGCATTATCATCGTTAAAGTGGCTGCTCGTGTACGGAAGATCCCCCAATGCTTACCCTAACCAATAAGAAGCAGCTGGGAGTTTTAAGCTCCTCGTTTAAGGCAAACGGCTGCTTCTTGTTTACCGACGGCAACCGCAGACTATGGACACGTGATGTCCTCAGGTTTGGCGTTTGCCGTGTCAACCATAAAAGCCTGCTCCTAAAGGCCCCCCAGGGGGGAGGGGGGGACACCGCATATGAAAGGGGTGGGGATGCTCGTCGGAAATTTTGAATTAAACCCCTGAAGGAGACCGATCTGGGTGGGGCCCAAGCTATTTTTGACCCCTAAGAGAGACCACGTTAAAACACAGACAATATATATTTTTCGCGTGCAACCCTAAACGAGACCTTCACGGCTAAATATGATGGCGTTTTTTCCAGAACACCCTGAGTGAGACCAAAATCCGAAATTTATACCCCTAAGCGAGACGACGAGCATCCCCACCCCTTTCATATGGGGAGTCCTACCCTCCCCTCGGGCTAAAGGCCTCTGGTATTTGGTCGGTAAAGTGCTTTCAAACGGAAACGCCTTCGGCATTATCTTTTTTATTTTATTTTCCGAGGCTCACTCACCTCATATTCGCCAATCAAATATATCTATAAAAGCTAACCTGGGTTTAACATAGGAGAGACGACAAGAGATTTGCATGCAGTGCCAGCGCTATTTGATACTTGACATTCGTACTCCCCCGTGACTGAATCGTCTTTCAATGAAATCTTCAGTGTGTCTTCTTGGCTGGTCAGCGGCGTTCCATCTTTTTTCCATGCGTACTTTAGTGGGTGTCTGTTTGACGTCTCGCAAAGCAGGAAAACGTCTCCATTTCCTCGCTCTTTGAGTTCTTTCTTTTGTGGCTGGTTTATGACAAATCCGGTTATACCGGTGATTACTGGTGGTTCTAGACATTAGAAGGAATGCGAACAGAAAAAAGGCTGATCAAAATCTCAAGAATCGAGAGTTGTGCTAGATATACCGAGTAGAGCCCTCGCCTTTCCTCTCGATCGAACTTGTTAACTCGAAATTGTCTGTAACTTAAGTCCGGCCAAAGCAGATAAAGCCGGACATTACCTAACTTCTTCCGTCACTTACAGTCAGATAATTCGATAAAACCTGGTTTCAAATTAGCCTTCAAATTCGACTTGGCAAGGTAGCACTACTATAATTAATTTTTTTTTTTTTTGAAAAATATCATTAAAAAAAAGATTAGAAAAAAAAAAAACACCAATGACGATGACTTTCTGAGAGGTCTTGGGTCCATTTTTCACGGCACATTGGTAAGTTCCTTCATCTTTTGCAGAAGCATTACGAATGGTTAAACTAGATTTATTCCCTAAACTCTCAGCACTTCCTTCCTTGTACCAATCAATATCTTGGTGGTTGCACTTCAGCGTTATTGAGCGGCCTGCTCTCACCTTGCCGTTTGGTGGAGAAGAGACAATGACCGGAGGACCTGAACGAAAAAAGCGTTGATCACTTTAACTTTCTTACACTTTTTGGCGGCAGCAGTTTTAGAATGGGGAAAGCAATCAACATAGTGCGAGCGAAGTACAAGTTGACTGGGGTAAAAATTGATCTCAGTAAGTGAACATCTTCTATTCTAGTTATCATAATTTAAATCGCAACGTACTTCTACGTAGTTCTATGTTTATTTCTCATCGTTACTACCGCCATAACCATCATCATCATCATCATCACCGTTACTACCGCTATAATCAATATCATCATCATCATCTCGTCGTTTTCTTTAACGGTCACCTAAGATCACTTTTGAAAATGTATGTTGAATAAGATACAAAACGTCAAGGTAATAAAAAAGGCGAAAACTTACAGTGTTTATCACCCCTGTTTGTGTTTTATTTTATCAAACTACGATGACCTAAGAACAAAAGTCTCTACCATCATCAGTTATCATCATTATCATCATCATCATCATCATCATCATCATCATCATCATCATCATCATCATCATCATCATCATCATCATCATTACCACCACCACCGTCATCATCACCACTACCATCATCATCATCATCATCATCATCATCATCATCATCATCATCATCATCATCATTACCACCACCACCATCATCATCACCACTACCATCATCATCATCATCATCATCATCATCATCATCATCATCATCATCATCATCATTATCATCATCATTATCATCATCATCATCATCACCATTATCATTATCATCATCATCATTATTACTGCCCTTGTACTTACCGTCCTTCGTCTTCAATGATGTAAAATAAGAACTCGACCCATTGCCCGCGCTGTTCTCAGCCTGAACACGTATTCGATAGTGCGTGTTTGATTGAAGATTGGAAAACACCAGAGACCGCTGTTGGGTGGATCTCCGTGAAATAACACTTCCATAAGATGTCGTTAGTTCCACGTTGTATACTAAAGGTTTTTCAGTGGAGCTTAATGTAGGGACAGACCACCCAACTTGAAATGAGGAGGAGGTAGTGTGTTCGATGATAACATCCTTTGGAACACTTGGTAATACTGTGCGAACAGAAAACAAAAACAGTGTTTACAACTCCGAGAAGGCAAATTTAGTTAAATTGGACACCAACAAGCGAATCGTCATTTTGGCTTCTAAACTTAGCAAATCCTTTTGAAAAAAATTAAATAACAATGATAATGATAATGATAATAATAATAATAATAATTTTTTTTAATTTAAATCTGAATCTTTTATTGATAAGAAAACTAACTACAAAATCCGACCTATGTACAATTAAATTTTGCTTAAAGAAAAAACTATCGAGTACAAGTACTATTTACAATTCATTTCAATTAAAAAAACCCACATAGTTCCGATTAAAAAATTCATTTCAATTAAAAACCGTTATTCGAATACTAATACTAATTCTACTAATAACAATTATAAAAAGCATCGAAAAGTTAATAAAAAAATAAAAAAACTATTTAAAAATAATAATAATAATAATAATAATAATAATAATAATGACAATAATAATTATTACTTGGACATGGGATAAATTATTATTATAATATCATAGGTGACGAAGTACTCTTTAATTTTGGCCCGAATTTCAGCATTAATTCATAATTTACATGTGAAATTAGAAAATTGCTATGGCAACCTCCCCCGACGTCCCAGTGCCAAGATGGCGACGAAGTTTTAAAATGTTATAAATGAAGTTGTCGGGGCATTAGAAGACGCTTTAATTAGAAAACGTAAACACACGAAAGAGCACATCAGGAAGGATCCTAAAATTCTGAACTTAAGCCAAATTTAAGCTCTATACTGAAACGTTTGAGGGAGTAAAGTTCTCGATCTATACGATAAAACCAGGAGAGGAGCTCCTCACCAGGATAAACATGTCAAAACTCCACGATTGCGAAGTCAACGTAATTCGTCACCGATGATATTAATAGGTAAAAAGCCTCGGGAAATTATTAGGATTTGGACTAAACGCGCGTGAAATTATTCCCTAATTTCACTCTACACAATTTCTGAATTGATTATACATACTTATTATTATTATTATTATTATTAATATTATTATTATTATTATGATTATTAACAATTATTTTTACATAAGCTCGGATTCCTTTGTTCTTTTCGGCGGGAATATATTAAGTAACCCCCAAATCAACTGTCTGAAAAGCTGGGTGCGGCTTTGATTGTTTGAAGGGAAGAGCGGGGCTAATGAACAGCTAATTAAAATGCGAGGGGATTATGTATTAATATGCAAGGGGGATAAGTGACTTATTCCCTTGCATATTAATACATAATCCCCTCGCATTTCAATTAGCTTTTCATAAAGAAAAATTTCACAAATGTTTATTGGAAATATTAAACACGACACTATAATTACTAAAATTAAACTGAGCTTCGTTTCTTTTGCGCCACATTCACGGATTTTCTTGGTTGTTGGTTCATCGATTTCCACAGCCAAAACGACAGTTCGAAATTGAACAGCGCTAGCGTCTTTAAAATTCTACGGTTCCACGAAAATGTCGCTGTCATGGTAAGGAGTCCTTTCTTTAACCAGTCATCCCAAACTCGTGAACTCCATGAAGACATGTAGTTGACCTCTTTGGGTTTTGTGGTATTCTTCCTTGATTCCTCGACTGAATTTCCTTGTCAGGTGCAGTTATGTAGTGATCCCTCGCCCGGAATCTTCTTTGTCTGTAAACATGCAGGTCGGTCGAAAGATCCTCGGTGTGAAAATTGAAATTGTCAACTGCTTGCTCGTTTTCTGCACCCGCAAATGAAGATTCAAATTCTTTTCCGAAAGCTCTTGAAGTACCGCCACTAAAGCTGCTTTAGTTTGAGTAATAAACAGCTCTACTTCTGGCTCTGAATCGCTCGACACTGCTAGGTTCTTTAGGCTGTTTCTAGCATTCACTGCGAACAACTAAGGGCCTGTTTACATGGAGATGGGGGACCCCGGGTAGATGAAGTAACCCACTTAGGTGGCGTAAAAAAATAACCCTCCTTTATATGCAATGTTACAACCCCACCATCCCGGGGTGCACTTTCTCAAGATTATTGAATGGTCGCTAAGCACGTAAACAAGAAAAATGCTGGCAAACCACGTGTTTTGGCGATTAATGCTCTTCTACACTCACTTGCTGCTCTTGCTGCAACCTTCAGTGCTGTGGCTTTCTATTGTTACCTTTAATAATGATGCAAAGCCACCGCCAAAGTGAATTTTGCGCGAATTTGATGTATCACGAATCCGACCCCGGCTAGGCGGGTTACCCCACCTTGAAACGTTTACATGGCAAAATTTGACCCCGTCTGAGAGGGTAACCCGGTCTGGCTGACCGGGCTACTCGCCTTGACGGGTCACCCCACCTATCATGTAAACGTGATCAAATTAAAATAAGAGATTACATGAATAGGAGGGTTACCCCACCTAAGCGGGTTACCTCACCTACCTGGGGTCCCCCACCTCCATGTAAACAGGCCCTAATTTGAAATGCGACTTTGAAAAACTAACATAATTAAAAAGCCGAGAAACCTGTGAATGCCACCAGTGCCAGCATGGAGTGTTAAAAAACAAAAGAAAGATGAACAATAGAGGCATTTTTCGTCAATGTATTTTTACATCCTTTGAGGAATCCTCGTTTATGTAAAAATAAGCCATTTATCGGCCCTCAGCTCGTGGTTATGTGATTTATTCCCCTCGCGCGTTACGCACGAGGGAAATAAATCACATAACCCTCGCTTCAGGCCGATAACCCATACGTATTGAATTCGGCTTTCGTATCATCTGAAGAATTATGGAAATGTCAAAGGGTGTTAACCGCCGAGGCCTACTGCCGAGATCTCCATAATTCTTCAGATGATACGAAAGCCGAATTCAATGATTGTTAATTGTTGAAAGTGTCTTTGGCACTGAAAAAGAATGCGAGTCCAGTTTTTACTTGCATTTATTAGCCTTACCTCGCCGACATATAAAAGGAAGTTTAATCGCGCAGTCTCCAGTTGTCCTTGAGCCGAGCTTTTTATTGTCGAATAGGGGACATCTTGATTTCTGGTAGCCCTCACGAGTGTCTCTTGGCGGTGCAATCCAAAATCTAGGCTGGTCTCGGTGTTTGGTAAGGGTACTTAAGAAGCGTAAATCATCAGAGTTATCAGGCAACTGCGCCAGCTGTGCATGAGAGCCGTTACAATATTTATTGGCTTCGGACCATATTACGTTAGAATGCTTTGGGGAGTACATATAGCAGGAATTCTTGTGACGCCTCCATCCTTGGGCGCAAGATGGGTCACCAGGCACTGTTAGGGAAAACGTCTTGATTTAGTATAACTATGCTATGCGCAATAACATGTGGATAAGAACCCTACCTAACTTTGCAAAATCACCTTTTTCCGTCATGTAAAAGTGTTCTAGGAGATGGACAGGGCACACTTAAAATCGATACGTAGGTACAGGGTACATGAAAGAGCTTCCCTGAGCTGGTCAACCTTTCCAAAATATTCTTGCAAAACCTGGCGAACTATTTTCATGACAAACAATAATATTGAGCACAGGCCAACCTACCTACTACGTTCACCATCATGTATTTTTTAATGTCATAGAATCCGTATTCTTCCCCAGAACAGACATAAATACCAGCGTCATCCTCGGTTGCGTTGGTGATGGTGTAAGAGGTCCCCCTGAAGATGTAATCTTCATACTCATTGGTCGAGGACCTATTTGTCTTGTACCAGTGAACAAAGCTCGAGGGGCTATCCCTTGGTTGGCATGACAACGTCAACTTTTGATTGGCATAAACAGTAAACTCTTGCGACAGCCATATTGAGGTCCCTAGAGAAATAAAATAAATGAAAAGCCTAGCGTGAGAAAACAGCCGACATTATTCTTTACAGTTAGTTTGGTTCCTAACATTATCGTTTTTCTTTCGCATGGAATTGTGGCTAGCTAACTTTCTAGGATATGGACAAATTTAATCTGCAAAGAGTAGTAAGTGAATAGGGAAATTCCCAGTGGATTTTCCCCAACTCAATGGTACAATGGATTCCCGCGCTACAGACGACACCCGCTTAATAGCGGAGCTCTCGCGCGCGAAGCGCTCCTGCGGAGCACCATGGGTAAGAAAATTTGGTAAACTATCCATCCAAGAAAATTCGGACTCGAGGAATAATTGTGAAATATTACGGGACACCCGACTCGGGTAGGGCTTTGCCGCACAAGCCGGCTTGGCAACTTTTTGGCAACTTCTCGTATTTGGAGCAACTCTTTTCGTTTCGAGCAACCTTTTGCATTTTGAGCAATTTCTTTAGTTGTCTTCTAATTCTGAGACGTCGGGGCAGCTTTTCACAATGTTTTAGTAGACAATTTATGAATTTCCTGTAAAAAAGGAGCCAAATGCTTCCCCCTGGAGCAGATGATGGGCGCAAGATAACAGTAGCCATGCTGCTAGGTTAGCGGTTTTTAGGGAAAATTCAAAAAGTGGATGAAGATTCACACTCGACTGACTTGAGTGTCTCGGCTGAAGAATGTCATTCAACAATTGTATTGGCTCATTACATTTTTGGGTTATAATTGAGGACAAAGTTATTCAGCGACGCTGGTTACGCCTCCAAATTGCAAAAAAATGCTTAGAAATCTTACTTTTGCTGTACAATTTGCATATTTTAGCATCAGATCAGAGAAAGTTTTTGTCACGTTTCGAGGAACTTTCGTTACAAAAAGCAACTTTTGAGCACCTTTTTTGAGAAATTACAAAAAAATTTTTGGAAAATCTCGAGCAACTTGCGGAGAGCCCTACACCCGGCCGTATATAACGGACAGTTTTGTTTGTCCTGCCAAAATGATTCATATATTTTCTGTAAAATTAACCCGGACACCGGACAACGGACACTTATTTGTGTCTCGAGACACAAACTGTCATAAATCGTCCTGGTTATCTGCACAATGTCCATGACTGGATCAGAGGATATGTTACCCCCGAAAACCTGACAGAAACAGCGAATGACCTTTCAAAGGCGTGCCTCTCCCGCCTCGCGTTTTCAGCCACGCGCGTTGTCATTTGCGTGTCTGGCTCGTTTCGCTCGAGGGACTAAGAAAAAAGATAGAAAAGGATTGCATTATTGCATTTCAAGAGAAACATACTTAAAGGTTTGTTTCAATCTGAGACGATAACAAATGATCGCGCCATTTCCTTAAGATGAAGCTGTGACAGTTCCTAAACAATTAAACAACCGACTTTTTCTTGTAAAAATATCTGATTTTAATTTGTCTGCATGTAAACACTGATGTGTCTGTGACGTTTTGATTTGTTTTGTTTTGTTTGTTTTTATCTTATTTTTCTAAAAGGCCGCTTTATATGGACACGAAGGGTATCATTTTTAGCCACTTTCGTGCTAATTGGCAGAAAACGGGGCCAAAAGGGAAGATTTGTTCGTGGATGCATTGTTTTGTTGTTTGTTTTATTTTTGCTGTTGCTACTGCTGCTGCTTCTGCTGTTATTTTATTGTTAATTGTTGTTGTTTGTTTGTTTGTTTTTGCTTCTAGCAGGCCGTGGGAAACAGCAAACATCTTCCTTTTTGGATGCGTTGACAGACTGTTACCAACGCCTAAAAAATCGACGATTATATCAGCATTATAACAATTAAGATATCCGGTAAATCAACTTCCTTTTTCGGTATCAGATAATGTTTTGGGCAGGATTCCCGAATTGTTCATCGTCTTATCAAATCAACAGCTTATAAGGAGGAAATTTTGTTTGACGTAATAAAACTCGGTAGGTTTTTTTCTTTCTTTCTTTCTCCTGAATAAAAGAAATTTCGTGTATTAGGGGGAAGCCTGCGAATACAGCCGTCCATCCTTGCTCCCCGTTACTAAGGAAATTTTGCAGGAGAGTCCCTGCTTAGCGGAGAGATTGGAGGAGAGACGGCTGTGTTCCGGGGGGGTTGTACCTCCTTATAAGAGGGAGGCTAATTGGGATAAGCCGCAGGAAGGGGTCGCATTTTTAAGACTGGATTGACTATAACGGGATCGCATTTTCAATAGACTTACTAGAATTGGGTCACATACACATTTTCGGATTTTTTGGGGTAAGAGAGTTCTTCATATTTACGCTTAGCAAACGTACCAGAATGTTTGTACTGCAGATGAAAAGTAAAGTGTTCTTCATTCAATCTAAAAATGGGTCAATTCATAAAAATAGAAAGTGACTAATATAAGTTGGGATCGCGAACATTACATATTTGTCCAAAATTGATGGAGTCTTCAATTAGCCACAGAATAGACTATAATGGGGTAGGGGCTCTGAGAGGTCAGCGGCACATACCTAGCAAAAATTAACCCTAGTGCCCCCCCGGGCTGTATTGGCAGGATAGATAGGTAGGATAGGCGAGACACGATAAAAAATTAAACGTGTGCGAGTACACATGTTATAATAGTATACGAGCAATGCATTTAGAGAATTTCTGAATCTCAAGGTCTTCGTTTTTAAGGTCAAAAAGTTATGGGGACGGATTTCGACGCATCCACATTCCATGTATTTCAATTTTTAAATTATCCATGCTTTTTTAAAACGACTATTCCCATCGCCGTTTATAAATTCAGTTGAGGATTTTCTAAATCCCACTTCTCTTGAGTGACGTCGTGTCCCTTAGCTTAATTTGAAAAGCGACCGCTTCTAACCGGTTTTATTCCAAGCCATCTCCTTGTATCCAAAGAGGTTAACTCAGTGTTAACTGTGAAGTATAGGTAATGTAACGTTATCTCACAGCTGTACGAATGCTCCTCTACGCTAAATCCTGAAGTATTTCGTGTATGATTGTATGAAGATACGTTGAGCTAACTACAATTCTCTTTATGAACCAAAGCAAACCGATTGTCATGGTCTTGTGTGAGTCTGAACTGTGAGTTGCGGTGTGGCTGACTAACAAAAAAAAAACCGCTATAAGTTGAATGTTTTACCTTCCAACATGTTGAAACAACCTGCAAGTGTCAGGCCGACTGCCTCCAACAATACCAAAGCGATCATTTTGTAAACAAGGAGCAATTCACAGATAGGGGAAAAAGTTTGCTCTTGTTGCTCCGCTCAGCAGCTTTCTTGTTTTCACGGGATATCGAAATGAATCGTCAGTCTTGTACATATGGGTGCATCTGCCAAAATAAACTTATAACCGGAAGGAAGTCTTCCTAAGGGTTCAGCAAGCCATCGGAAGTTGAAGGCTGCACGAATTCGCTTATACCTTTGTTAGTATCGTATTTTGTTTTGCCCTTGATAAAATGAGAAAAAAAAAATACAAACAAACAAAAATACAATCAAGGCTCTAAACGAAACTTTATCTCAAATGGAACCTTATCTCAGACCTGGCACCTTAGCCTGCGTGCTGGCGGGATTTGGTGGCAGAGCTGCGAGAAGCGTGAGTATACAAGTCAATTACTTCGCGTGGCGGCTCCAACACCAAAAAAAGTACCCCGGGCACAAGAATCCCGCCATCTACGCAGGAGAACCTAGACCCAAATTGTGATCAGGTGTGGAGATATAGGGGAGGTCCCCCCCCCCCCACCCCAAACCTCAGACCCTGGAAGAGGAAGAGGAAGAGGGCACGATCGAAGGCTAACCTGAGCCTGTTTTGCAGCGATAACCGGAAGCACGCTTGACTTAACAGAGTGAAAGGGTCACTGGGTGTTCCTACCCTTTTCGACGGAAAGGAAGAGTGACGCAAATTGCGAAATTGATGCCTTGAAAGCATAAAAAGTCGCAAAATTCAACAGGAGGCCATTGTTTTGCTTTCTTTATCACTGTCTCTTCGCTCGCGTTACCCGGGGGGAGGTACTCCCTTATGAAAGTCATTTAGGTATGTGCCGCTCTAAAGGGTAGGGTTTTTGCGCTGTTTTGGTCTAAAAACGGGTATAGATTTTGCCCACTTTGGTCCTGAATCGGGTATGGTTTACGAAGGAACTACGGTTGTGTGTCAATGTGTTCGTCATTTCAATTCCAAATGAGTAAGAAAGAAAGTGTAATATGCGAATTCCAAATGGATTTCAAGAAATCTTTTTGTTGCGGTTTTAATCTCAGCAATAATGACATAATTTCTGTTTTATGTAAACATACAATGTTGCGTTTTGTGACCACCTCTGGGTCTGAAAACGGATGTGGAAAATGACATTTTTTGGTTCAGGATTTGGAGAACCGGGCGACACACCCCCACCAAGAATTCCCAGGAGTACCCCATCCCCGGGCGGCTCTAAAACAGACTATAATTGTGGGAGGGAGAAATGACTGTCTGGTCTGTCAAGTAGATACAAGTGATATTAGGGGATCAACAACACGTTTTCAACCAACGTATAGAAAACCTCACGTTTACGATAAGATAACACTGTTTGTCTTTGTTTTAAATTGTTTTGGGAAGAATTAAAAAGATAGGAGATAGGGCCATTTCGCGTTTCTGGTTTGTCAAGTACCCATACGCACAGTGAATGAGAGATTAGAAGTAGAGGGTTTTTTTGGAAGTTTGATAGAAAAGCCTTCCTGATGTTCTAGGCAAACCAGTGACTTCGAGCTTGCAAATTGACCAAGACGTCACAATAAAGTTGACGCCAAAAAGGAGGAGTTGTAGAAACGGGTCAACCACAATCAGTCTTAATCTATTGTTTCCATGCACGCAATGCTTTGAGAGAGCAGAATAACTGAAACGGTTTTTATCAAAGAAAGACTATCGTCAACTCGTGGGAACGTTGTTTAGAAAATAATGAAATGGTTAACAACTCTGGTTTTCCCACGGTAAATTGTGGGAAATGAAAGAAATTCAGATTGTTTATCCATATATTTAATATACTATCTTTTCTCTGGAAACACAATACTTTTCTTGCTGTTTATTGCACCTTATTAAATAACAGTTATGTATTAAGGTACATACTTATAGAAAAACAAGAAAACAAAAACGGGAAAAAAAAAGAAAGAAGGAAGGAAGAAAGGTCTTGAGCAGGACTCAAACCCTGCAACTTCGGTTCGTTGCGACTTTACCTAACCGCTACACCACAAAACTGATTATGTCATTCAGGTGAAAAGTATTTTATTTAATGCTTTTCCCATGGAACATCCGCTGGCAAACGCCGTTTAAAGATGATCAAGCCACATAAACGGAGCTATTGACAATTAAAAGAAAACATACAGTTTAAACGCATAGCAATGAATGGCAACGAATGAATGAAAGAACATATATTGTATGCTTTACAGAGCCGATACACCTCGTCTGCGAAGTACGACGCAAAACATATGTTTTCTTATCGGTCAGTATAAAACACGGACTGCGGACTACGGACTGCGGACTGGGTATAAAATACGGACTAGGTATAAAACGCGGACTGGAAAATATGGACTGGGTATAAAACGCAGACTGCGGACTACGGGTTACGGACTACGGACTGGATATGAAATACGGACTACGGACTACCCACTTTGCCCATTTTGGCCTGGAGTCGGGTATGGTTTTCGAGGGAATTACGGGAGCGTACATGAATGGACGTATTTATCGTTTCATTTTAAATGAATAGGAACGAAATAGAAATGTGCGTATTCGAAATGCATTTGGAGAATGTTTTTGTTTCTGCTCTAACTTGGTAATGATGACAAAATTTTTGGCTAATTAGACCTAACCTGTTCCAGCCTCCGAGATAGTTGGGTCAGCTGAATTGGCAAAGCGAAAACACGAAAATAAAACGGGAGAAAACTGAGGAGTCTCCCCAACTATCTGAGAGCCTGGAACAGGCTAAATTAGGCCAGGTCCGAAAATGGGTATGGATTTTAGAGATCTGAGATCTGGTCTGAAAACGGGTGTGGAAAATGACATTTTTTGGTCTGCAGTAAGGTCAGGATTCGGAATAGTAGTAGTAGTAGTTTTTAATTCGGTTAGAATATAACGTTCTTATTGGTTTAAAACTGCCCTCAAAATACTTTTTGAAATCCCTTCTAATCTCCTTCTTTTTCCCAAGGCTTTATTTAAAAATTCATCCGAGTTTAGTTTCAATTGTTTTCTTTCGGTGCTTCTTATTGGTTTAAAACCGGAAATCAACTAAAAATTCCTTCCTTCTCCTTGGGAAGAATAGACCACGTGAACAGCCAAGGGAATGCTAAAGCTGAGACTACTGTTTTTGCTAGTCCGCTTTCTATTTCTCTCAGTTTTACTTTCTAGAAGCTGTTTTTATATACGTAGTCCGTAGTCCGCATTTCATACCTAGTCCGTGTTTTATACTCAGTCCGGAGTCCACATTTTATACCTAGTCCGTATTTTATACCCAGTCCGCAGTCCGTGGTCCGCAGTCCGCAGTCCATGTTTTATACTGACCGGTTTTCTTATCTCGATTTCCGCTGTTATTTTGAAGCTAATGGTCAAAGTCACATCCGTTTCTGGCTCATACAGGTTCTTAAGAATAGCATGACATGATATTTTCTCACTTTCAGATCACTTTCCAGCAAGCTGGAATTTGTATATCCCCAGTGATCTTCCGGAATCGAAGAGCAAATGCTCATCTTCTCGTCAATCCAATCCCGAAGTTAACCATCCTACTCATCTGAAAGACTCCTGCATGTCTTAAATTTGGTAATACCTCTAACCGTGCTTTAGAAAATTTGCCACAAAGAAAACGATGCACGCTCTCATAAGATTTGATCACACCGAACGTCGACGAGCGTGTGCTTCTTCGGAAACGATAGATCTTCGCACTCTAGAATTCGACTAGCCTCGACCCGAGGTCCGTCTACTACGAGTGAGCGAGTGACTAATTTGCATATCACAGTCCCTGCAATAACTCGTGGTCACCCGTGGTACGCTCGCGCGTCCCCTGGGAAGTGTTCTGGATTTTGGGATGTGTTTTGAGTTCTGGGAAGTGTATTTGGATTCTGGGATGTGTTTTTGGATTCTGGGAAGTTTTTTGGGTTCTGGGACGTGTTTTGGATTCTGGGAAGTGTTTTGGAACCTATGAGCTCAGTAGGATATTGGCGCCGTACGGAGATACGAAGAGAAGAGACACGAGACGACAACACGAGAAGAGAAATTTCGTATTTCCAAGCGGCCATGTAATGTTCTATTTATTATATATTCACCAAAGAAATACCAAACCATTTCTCAATAATATTTTGCTGCGAAAGGTGTGATTTATCTCGTAGCCATAGCAACGGTGATCTTTAATTTCAACAAGTGAAGATAACTTGCGAAAGCTTACAGCCTGCTATTTCATTGTTGAAAAAAGGTTAAAAGCACGGTTTCACACCAGTATAGATGTGCGGCCTGTCACCCCTTCAGTTTCTCAAGGCGAACAACTGCGGTACAGCCCGCCCACGTATCACGTATACTATCGATATATAACATGTGTATGTTTGGTGTCTAGTATTCACCGAGTTCTTTTTGTACTTCAATCATATCAGTTATCTCTTGGCGTGCGGCACTGACAGTCAGGATATGCATGAACAAGTAAGCAAAATAAATGAGGTTGGAAAACGAATCCCTCACAAAAACATGCCAGAACCGATGCGAACAATTCACTTTAGTTCAATGGACGAGAGGAGGGTGTTGCCAAAAAAATTATTCTGCCAAATATTTCTTGAAAGACAATTACAATTCTTACAGGAAACTTTCACGAAAGAAAAAAAAAATCTGACAAGCTCTCTGCCGATCCTCAACTCACAGAAGTCCTGACTTAGTTAAGTAGTCTGTGCATTTTGAACAGCATATTAGAAGCTTAGAACTGCCAGCAAGCTTCATCACAGGAGCTCGAGGAAACAAGAATTGTAGTGGCCATCAATTGCCACACTTGATCCACGTTACTCTGGATAAGCCGAGTTATTCAAGTTGATAACTACCACCGGCTAAGAAAAGTTTTACTTTCAGAAAGGGGTAAGGACTGCAAAATTCATTTCGACTGATTATTGAAGACAACACAAAATGCTCATTGAACAGTGACTCGAGTTCTATTTTCAACATTGTTCAGCGCTGCAAAAGTGTCTGGCTCGCCAACATAATAAGAGCGGACAAAACAAGGTAAACCGCTCAAGATGACCGAATCCTAGTCCCCCTATGCAAGTAGTGACACAGGTAGCCCAAGCTAAAGGAAAAAACCTATCGTTTCTGTAACCTACGAAAATGAAAGGATTTCAATAAAAAAAAAACAGGTTACCTTACTTAAAATGTGTTACGTCTCTCCTGTAGATAGAGAGAAAACCGTTTAAAACGGCCATAAATCGGCCCGTAGAACTCACAGGAGAGACGTAACACACATTTTAAGCAAGGTAAGCTGTTTTTTATTAAAATACTTTCATTTTCGTAGGTTACAGAAACGATAGGTTTTTTTCCCCATACAAATGTTATTTCTGACGAATGAGCCCGCGAAGAAGGCAGAAATAAATATTTTGACGGCACGAGATACAACAGGGCCTGGGTACTAGGCCGGGTGCACCATGGGTAGCCATATCGGGGGTATATAAGGCTGCGTATATCACGTGTTCGTCATCTAGGCTTACGAACCAACCTCTCCTTGGTTTTTCTTAACGTTCTTATCGGCTCTTTCTTGCGTTATATCCGTCAGCAAAGACGAAGTGTCCGATCTCATTGAGGAGAATAACAAACAGTTAATGGACTCGTTTAAAGTTTTGTTAACAGAAACCGTTGGTCAAATCAAGCGCGCTAATGAATATTTGGCCGAGCAGCAGATGAAGGAAATTAAGAAACTAAAGTATAACGAACCACGTAAGTTCAAGAAGAAGGCCAACGAAAACCACTTTTAAAGGATCCACAGTGCAGAATTTTGCGGCGGTGTAGCGTACTAGGCCCGTAAGAAGAAGAAGACCACTCAAAAACAGATCCTCGCCAGTGGGAACGCCGGCGTCCACCTCAACTTCACATATGCAACCCCAGCCTCATGTCAAACGTTCCTGTTTTAATTTTCGCCTTCTCGACGACCCAGTGTCGGGACCTGTTTTGCCCGTGGAAAGCGTTCCTGTTACCCGACGATGGACAAGCCAAACATCCCAAACTCCCAAATGGCTAGATGAAGGACAACAATCAGGTGCAGTCTATTCTAATTTAGTACTGAATTTTTTAGGCGGCAAGCCGTAATATGGATCAGGATTGTCTCGATATTATACCAGTTTCTTCTGACGTTCACCCCGCTAGTTTTAGGCGCGGTTTAGAGCTCTGAGTGTACCGTTGATATTTCTATTCTGCCTTCAGTTTGGGAAGATTTTTTCACAGTTATCTATTTCTGGCATACTTTGCTAGTTTCTCTGTTCATTTTGGAATGTTTTTAGTCTTAGTTACAAATTCCCTTCTTCCAGCTTTTTATGTTTTTTTTACAAATCCTACAATGCCTCTGCACGTGTTTACAGTTCTTTTTGTCCGTAGCTGTTAATGAGCTTCCCAGCCTCAACCTCCTTTTAAAAATTTTTGCATTCCAATATCATTTACCCGCTTTCTGTTTGACGCGCCGCTCCGGCTAACAAAGGTTAATCCTGGATTTTAGGCACGTTTGCACTTTTTTCTTCTAACAGAAATTCAAGTGCGAAGACTTGTCCATGGCCACTTATATTTTTGATATGGGTTTTTATTTATTCATATTTTACCTCTAGTACGGTTATCGTAATTTTCCCTGATCACCAGTATTTCCTTGCGTTCACCTGGGATCTCGGCACCTGGGTTTTTAGGTATTTTCTACTTTGCGCGCTTCCCTTTGGGTTCTTGTCAGCCTCCCTCAAACCGCTTCAGAAATCTAGAAGAAGTCAAGGTATCCCTATTGCCATTTTTCTTGACTATGGTCTAGCTATAGGAGGAGGAACCTATCGCGTTCAGGCCTTAATTTACAGTTTGCGGGCTGTCCATGCCGATTTGCTTTAGTCTCGCTTTGTTCGAATTCCTATGAGGAAAAGTCCCTGTGGGAGCCCGTTCGAATTTTCTAGTGGCTTCGCGTTCATCTCAACATAACACTCTGGATGGAAGTATTAGAGCCACGGATGAACGCATTTCTAGATTGTCTCGCGACCTGGCGGCTTTGTCTTCATATTAGCCGTCCACCACAGTCCACGTTCTACGCGTCCCGTGTGTAGCCGCCCATAGTATTTCCCTCTCGAGTAGCGTGGGATCCGTCGCGTGCATTATGGCCCGATTTCTTTTCTCAGTTGTTTACTCAGCTGTTTCCTGGGATAGATAGGTTTTCCTGTCCGTTGATTCTTTGTATGAAATTGAATTTTGGTCGAATTATGGTAGCCTCTCTACGGCAAAATTTATCGAGGGGTTCCAGTCCGCTTCCAGTGAGAGTAAGCTCCGGCTTCTCCGATGCTTCCGATTCAGCCTGCGGCGTTTAAGTGGAGTCTGAACCTGAGTTGATTTTTTATCAGAATTGGTCGGAAAGTGTTCGTAGATCGACTTGAAGAGAGCTCAAAGCGGTTTGTCTTGCCTTACTAGCCTTCGCGAGCCCTTCATCTAATTCCAAGGTTTTTTGGTATTCTGACAACCAGAACGTCGAATCCATTCTCCGCGACGGCAGCAGGAAATGCTATCTCAAAGAATTTAGCCCTAGTTGCTTTTCAAATTTGCTCCCATCATTGTATTTCGTTCGAGGTCAAGTGGATCCCTGGGGACCTGAACGCTAGTGCGGTCTGTATCTGCAAGCTCGTTGACTTCGATGGTTACGGCCTCAACGATTTTGTTTTGCTAGGGCTAATTCACCTCTTAGGTCCTTACATTATTGACAGGTTCGCCTGTAGTTACAACGGCGAGTTGCCTTGGCTAACTCTCTATTTTTTCAGCCAGGCTGTTAGGCTGTTTATGCCTTCGCTCAAAATTGGGGATAGGACAACAACTGGCTTGGCCCACCTGTTTGCCTCATTGTCAGAGTCATGTATATCAGACACATTGGGCTCTGCGCGCTCACGGGAGCCCTTATTCCTCACTTATGGAAGTCAGCTATTTTCTGAGATGTTTCTTCTAGAGATGGAGTGCATTGGAATAGTTTTGTTGTGGACTGGGTTTTATTGCTTAAGTTCCAGGGATTATTTGTTCCAGGGAAGGTCCGTAATTCCCTTTTCAGAACCAGGCCTTTATTTTTTGGCGTCATAGCGCTTCGAGTTTATTTTCGGCGCCCCACACCTCCCTCGTCCCTGGCGGGCTTCTGCTCTACGCCGCCTGACGGAAAGTGTTGCCTGTGCCTCTATACACGCGTGTTATGCGTGCCTTTAGGTTTGGACCCATTAGGTTTTTGCATGTAGCCTTTTGACCCCCACTTCCCTTTTCCGGTGTTTTTTCTTTTTTATTGCGTGATCCTCACATTTTCTTTTGTATTTTCGATTACTTTTCAGATATATTCCGCTCTGGTTTCTAGCGCGGGCCCCAGAATTTCCCACCAGAGGGTTGAACCCTGAGGCTGACAGACAGTCTACAATGTAATCGACGGTTCTCTCCTCAAAAGCAGTTAGTACGACAGTGGTGTACCTTCGTGCTTCTCGCAAGTAAAAATGTTTTGCTGCCAGTAAGCTTCATTCCT